TATATAGTTAATGGGGATTATTTCATGGTTTATAAACCATCTTCTAACTGGGGGGCGCCATCCTGTAGATCCCTATAGGTCCCAGACCCTCGACTCGTCGCGAAAAACGGAGGAGAGCTTAGTGGCGGAGATCCCCATGCGGACCAAGAAGCAACTGGGACCCCTGGAGTCCATGATCCATTCGGACGAGGACGGCCCCTTGGACGTCTCCGGACAAAGGGACCGACGGTGGCTTTTGGTGGATGTTTTCGCCAACATTTGGGCATTCACCAACGACTTTAACGTGCTTTAACCATCAAGAATTGGAGGTCAACCATGAAACAGTTTGGGGAAGTCAACCAATATTTAAGATAATGGCGATATACTAGGGTATAACTAACCAACAGTGATGCTTTTTAAACTTACAATAGCTTTGACAAAGTTATGGGAGTTTACAGGCAACCAGTTTATAGGAATGTAATGATAAAACATATATTATAACCATGTCAACCAACATTATATCATGTTTATATGGACATGTATACATATATATATATACACATGTTTATGATATATATATATATATGTATGTGTATATATATATATATATAAATATATGGGTGTGTCTGGAAATGGGGGATTGACGCCCACTCCATTGCATTTTTCATAGCAATAATGATTTTCTGAACCAGTGGATCTAGGCATTTTCAGACACACTTCTGGTTCCGGAACGGAGGATGGGTGATGGATTGTATTTCCTGAACATAATGATGATATAAGAATGCTGGTGATTTTAACAACCAATCATGGACACTGCTTTCAGTAGTTTTCTGATCATTAGCCTAGAGTATGTATATATATATATACATATATATATATATACACATACAAATACAACATTAGAGAACCATATTTGCGTGCTGTTTGCTGACTGTTGCCAAGGATCGACCCTTAAAAAATCACAGGATTCCCATTACCCATAGGATCCATGTATGCTATATATATCTATATGGTAACATGGATCCCATCAATATACCCCAGTCATGTTAGCATCTATACCAGCACCATGGATCCTATGGGTAATGGATTATAACCATTCCCAATACATAAAGGGTAGTAGAAGAACACCCGAAAAGGTCACTGCTCAACTATTATGCCGGTATAAACGACCCTATTAAACTGCTGATATTAAAGGTTCCTTTCGCATCCAGTGAAAGTCCAAGCATTCTAATCATCATTATTCCCGTGCTCAACTGTACTCTATCCTGTTTGCCTACACCTTACAATTGTATTATCTACATGTATTCTATACAGATATCAGATTGCAGAAGGATACGGTCTGCCCCCTACAGAGTCAGAGCGGCGACAAGTTGGGTTCTACTGATTTGTAGACTGAAATGTCATTCCTTTCGTAGCCATTGGTTACATTGGTTTCTAGCCATCTCCTGCCATAGTTCTGGTTGAATGCAACATGCCTGACGTGGAAAACCCTGTGTTTGGGGGTTTTGTGCCAAGGTTCCCTGGGATTTCTCCTATCCGGTCTCTCTGCAGCAGATATCTTGCCACTTGGCTGAGCTCGGGAGGGTTTCAGTCAGGGGGGATTTGTTCGTTAAGGAGTGACTGTGGAGGTTGACTCATGGTGACTCCCTACCTTTTTTAGTTGTCTCCTCAATGTTCAATACTGTTCAATGGTTGAGTGCCCCTGAAGAATATCCGGATTCTTCTTGGTCTTCTCTCCCATATCATCTCATTGCAGCGATGTGACAGGCTAGCTGAACTGGCAGAAGAGCCACTTGGTGCTGACAGCAAAACGACAGGCACATAATGCAGGTGTGGCTTGAAACAATCAAACATGGCTTACTGCAATTTCCCCATTTCTGGATGATTTTCCCATCAAAACCTCCATTTAGTTCGGAAATTTCCCAGCCATGTTTGATATTTTGATTCTCGGAGGGTAGATGAACGCCCGAGGTCTCTTCAACCCGTTTTCAGGATCTTGAGTAGGGGTACTGTCCAGGGCGTTGACCCAGCATCATCCTTTGAAACATAGGAATGGGTCCACTTGTTTGAGTTGCGAGTGTATCTTAAGTATCTTAAGCAATCTCTTGGATCGTATAATCTTGACCAATTCGTGTGTCTAAGAAGTAAGGGAAAAACACGTCCAACGGATTTTGGTCGTGATTCTCGATATTTAACTCTATTTATATAGATGGCCCTTAAAATGGCTAATGATCCCCCAGTTCTGCGTCCAAACTCATCGTGTTGATGAGTTTAGCCGGCAAGCTGCAGCTGTAGAAAACTTATCGCAGGGAGCAGTTCTGAAACACAGCTAATGATGATACGATACTGACATAATCTCTTACTTCGTACTTATACTGTATATTACCGTATTATTTCTGATCATATCTGTATATATATATATATATACATATGCAATTAGAGCCTCATCATGAGAGGTAGGCCATACAGGTTTGCAGGTGTCACTACATACAATACACAAATGCATCTGTAGTATACCTCACAAACCACAGTGGCAAATTTACAGGCATCCCTGTTCACTTGCCAAGTAGATGTAGCGACTAGTGACTAGAGGTGCAATGGTTAAGGCTACTGTAAGGTCCTATAATGACATGCCTGACATACAAAGCAGGTGCCTCCCAAGCAAGTCACTAAAAACAAAAAATAGCATAGTTTTTTGACATGAGGGACAACATGGTTTTTGGGGCCTGACGCTGCAAAGAGGCTCAGTGGCTAAATGTATATCATAATTTGACTGATTACTTCATATACATATGCGCTCACTGGAGATCCGGTCAGCTGGGTTGAGAACGGAGGAACATTCGCTCATTTCGGACATCGAAGCAAAACTAACTAGTCTACATCACTTTCATGCAAGTTAGTTGTCTTTAGATGTTCATCATTCTACTGTTTGCTTGCAGCTCCCAGATTGCATTCTCATCGTCCTCAATAATCAAGGCAGCTAGCACCACCCATAATCAATAGCTGCAACTCATACAGTCAACATGTTGAACATTTATGTTGCATTTGCAGACACCAAAGTCAGATTGCTCAAGACCAGAGCCGGCGATGATCCGTAGGTCTTCTGCCATCACTGAGGTTAACAGAGATGAGTCCAGGGGCGCTTTCTGGATATCCCAAGATTTCAAAGCTTCACAAGCAGGTTGGGTCAGAGCTGAGGAGTGCTGGGCGAAGCCTGCTGGTGAATTTTGATAGGGTTCTACAGTTCTACCTGACTACAGTTGTAACCCGTAAAACTTGGGTAGTCTACCAGTTGAAATGGGGTACTGTAACAGAAACCCGTTGCAATCAAGATGTTGAAGCCGATCATTGCGGCTGAGCAGCGACAGGTTTACTCCGCATAGGTCGGGAAAAGAGTCAGGAATTGATAGGGGAATGATTCGGCATAAATTCTTTGATAAAATCCCGAAATGCTGACATCATCCCCAAGGGATGAGGGGTTGAAGGGTTTAGTTGAATTGCCACTCCAGCTGCAGATCATTGATTTTGGATCTATCAGAAAATAGGACCCAAAACATGGAAGACTCGCAACTGTTTCTGTCCAGCCGGGCCCTAACATGTCCATGCCCCAACTTAGGGGTGCATTCCTACCTTACATGACCTTGATCATGCATGATAATGTGGTAAACCCGATGATAAACCTCTAGGTGGGGATGGTTTACACATGTTTTTACTACAATAATACCACCTATTTCTGGTACTGTAAGTCATGTGGGATATATTATGGCTCTACCACTGCCAACAACTAGCCCCCTTGGGAGTTTTGCCAGGTGACAGCCCTGCCACAGATTCGGGCGTATTTGGAGGGCCCGAAACGATATCCCTTTCCTAGGGGAGAAGTGGGTTGGAGCCTCAGAGTGATATATAGTAGTTAGTTCTCCTTTTCCTGTTGACAGTTGTCATTTTGATCCGTTTTGGGAATACATATTGGGAATATAATGGAATATACCAACCATCATAATCTATCATGGGATATATCATCAATATGATGTGGCTTTGCCGTTGCCATTTTAAGCGCTTCGCTTTGGCTTTGCGCCACAGCCAGGCCGGGTCTACGTGCAGAACGTCAACGCGGTGCTGGGCCGGTGATCCGGCGAGGCCAGTGTTTCGGGGACACCAAGATTGAGAAACAGACAGAACCAGATTTGAACCAAGGGTCACAACTTAGATCTTCATATTAGATAATTATGTAAATTGTCAGAGTTGATGTGTGCGACCTCTGCCAATAGCATGCCCCTCTTACTGTAGACGGTTTCACTACATCACTGGATGCCGTGGACTGTTTCCTGGTCAAGGATTTTGGGATATGCGTTTGGGATCCTTTGGGTGCACGATTTTCGTGGCCCACAACAATCCCACAAGGCCTCGTATGGGGTTTTGTGGAACCATTTGATGGCCTGTTGCTAGGTGAGTGCTTGGTCCATCTTGGGACAATGATCTTAATTGACTACTGCACGCAGAATGACAACGAACGCAAAGAGAAATCTAAGTACTAAAAATGTCTTGAGAGCGTTGAGAGGAAGAGGGAGAAGAATAACGATAATCAATAGGGGGGATCAGAATAAGTGTTTGCGTGGAATTCCTCATTTCAAGTTTAGAGATGATCCACTTGAAATAACATGAGATGGATTGAAGCAACCAAACAGGTCATCATTGATGTTTTTCACCAGTGATCCTCCCTGTGGTCGCCCATACGTCTGTCATCCCGCGCTGTTGCAGGTTCGCCGAACACGCTCGAACACTGCGGCGACAGCTTCTGCGGACGGCGGAAAAAGAGGGAACGCTGATGAACGCAGTATTTGTGGAGGAAATGAGTTTGTAGATAACAGTTTCTTGGTAGATCTTGGTGAATGGATGGTTGATCAGCTAGATTCTAGGATAAGCATGGATAAGCATGTATGGAGAAAATGTACTCATCGTTGAGGTATCCCAAGGCTGTTCATGTTTTGCAGGTATCCCTTGATGAGATCGGGCTCGCTGAGGTGAAATATGGCAAGCCGGCGTCCAATCTCTTCGTGGCTTGGAGTGGGAGGATCTTGGGAGTTTGTTGCATGGTAGGTGGGTCAAAAAACATGTTCCAACCCACAAAACCCTGGGGGTGATATGATGTTTCACACAATTATTGTTTTGTCTACTGTACTTTTGACAGTTTCTAATATATTCATTTTTGTTTTTAACAATGTTTAAACCAATTTTACCCGTTAGATTTATTTACTATAGTTACTAGTTAGAAACATCATCTCAATGCTGAACACCTATGCCGCACCCATTTTTTTGGGATGGCGAAACTTGGCGCCCTTGGACGAGTGCGTCCCAGGTCGGCCTGGCCAACAGTGCGCAAGGCATCTTGTTGGGCCCCCAAAATGACCAGCCGGTCGCGACGGCCGTTGCCGCCATGGACGTTTCGCCCGAGGCTAACCGAGAAAAAGTAGCGAAGTAGAACTATGGGGCAATTTTATGGGCAATATATGCAGTTTCCAATATCCCAAGATCATACTATCCAAGATCATCCAAGATCCATTGAGACTTGGATGGCCAATATACATGAATATACATCAATAATTGATATACCAATATCCAATGGATATTTGGATACATTGAGACTTGGATGTATATAATTGATATACCAATATCAATTATAGATAGCCAATTGTATATTAATACCACCATTATACATCAATATACCCACCAGAAAATCATGGCACAGATGGGATTTTCACGTTCATCCAGGTCAATTCTACTGATGCTGGGGATCCCACCAGCCAGGGCGGGCAGTCTACAGGGCCCAGGGGGCACAGGGGGCACAGGATTCCACCAGGCGATGTATGATATTTCACTGGATATTAATAAGTACAATATATATATATATGATATATATATATATACTATATGGGATTCCACCACTAGATACATACATATATACTCATATATCACCATAACTTAATGATGTTGTAATGGGGTACCCCCAAAATCTAGTTGATTAATATGTTCAATATATATGGTGATTATATCATAGTCATGGGGGTACCCCAATGGCTGGATGGTTTATTTCATAGAAAATCCTATACTGCTTGGTGGTTTGGAACGTGGCTGCTATATGACTTTCCATTCAGTTGGGAATGGAATAATCATCCCAACTGACGAACTCATATTTTTCAGAGGGGTTGAAGCCACCAACCAGTATAAGTTACATAATATGTCTATTTATAACTACATTGAAAATATGATGTGTGAGGCAATTGGTGCAGAAATTGTTTGTTGATCGGTTATTTTGGTTGCTCTGAATGAAAACAAATGTTTTTTTTTTTAAATGTGTTTGCTCTTTTTTTTTTTTTAAATGGTTCTCCTATGCCGCCTATTTTATTTGGGAAGATTATAACTCGGGGACCAGCATAAGTGGGAATCAAAGATCTGCAGACGGGGATGACACAGCACTGAGGTATCCCATTGGCTGGATCGGAGACAAGACCAATCGCCCCTGGACAGACATGATGGCCATTTAGAATCGATACCTATTCAAGTTTTATAAGGTACATATCATGGGGGCATCCATTACGTTGGGATACATATCTATATGGTATCTATGCTGGCAGCATGAACGAAGAGGAAGAAATCCATACCTTTGCAGCTTCAAGGCTACTATTTGCTGCGTTGGAACGTGCTGATCGCGGCCATTTCAGGCCGCATTGGCAGGACCAAAGCTGGCATCCATGATTTCGAAGGAAACAACTGGCTATAGAAATGCTTAGGGCTCAGAGATGCCCAGAGTTTTTGGTCGCGGTTCGCATATGGGTGTGTCTGAAAATAATATACCCCTAAACCCAATGGTTAATGATCATTATCCCTATTAAATGGCTATAATTGGGAATATACCCTATTTTCAGACAAACCCATATTCAACCCTTCATCTTTTGTGTGTATCAATTGTTGACCCGCAGATACTGGGGATAGAACGGATACAAATGAACGGAAGATAAAAAAGCGGCATAATCATAGAAGATAACAGATAACAATTGGTGTGTCCAGAATTTCAAACGCTGTGGGAAATCACAAGTTCCAAGAGCTTTGTTTCCCACGTCTTTCTCTTGATTCAATATAGGTCATGATAAGGCGCCAGCGGAGCTCCTGGTTTTTCATCAAGCCGCCCATCAGGTCACCTTTTTTACACATCTCCAGACTGGATGACTGGATCCACGTTTCATCATGTTTCATCATGTTTTTTTTTCCATATTTTCAGGGCCTATATAGCCTATATCCATCTATATCCTAAATGAATAGGGACTAAATGGGGACTAAATAGGGACTAAAGATTGAAATCCACTCGCCCAATGGTAAAATCACATGGCTCCAGGCGTGGCAATGCTTGCAGCAGTGTACACCTCGAATTTGCTATGGCTCTTCATCGGCATTTGCATCTTCACCTGGCGTCTCGGCCGGGGAAATCCCCGAGGATCCTCAAACTGGGATTTAACCAACAAAAAACATGTTGTGTACCCTCTGGTAATTTAACATAGCTATGGAAAATCACCATTTTTAATGGGAAAATCCACTATAAATGGCCATTTTCAATAGCTATGTTAGTTTACCAGAGGGTAAATGGTGATGTAATGGGATGCTAGATGGTGATATTAGACGAGTGATATAAACACCAATTATTTATAGCTGGGACATTGAACAAAAATAGGGATTTTTTTTCCAGGATTACCAGATGGTGACTTTAATTTTAAGATACTAGATGATTTGAAGAGTGCAGTGAATCAACGCTCCGGTTTTGCCACCGGGAAAATCAGATGTTGTACCCCAAGGGCTGAATAGGTGCGAGAAGAAATAGTTGCCTTGTATCATTTTACTTGGTTAGTTGATACATACAGGTGGAAGACCGGCAGATACTGTGCGAGGGGCCAATTAGATCATTTGGCGTATTTGAACTTGGAGTATCACTTCAATTTAGGGCGTTTCTTTTGAGCGAGAATGAGGTTTGAAGTTTGAAACCATCAAATTTGTGTTTTTTTCCAAACAGTTTTAGTCAACCCCATTTCAGACAACCCTAGCATTAAAGGCAATGCTCAAACAGCCCTTTATCATGCTGCTTTCTTGGAATACAGCTTCAATTCTAGCGAAAAACGTGTCCAAAATCCAGTAAAATCCCTGGATTTCAAGAAGTCTGATGATATCCAGGTACAGAAACCTAACACCACCGAATCAATTGAATCCAGACCAAATCTCTTTGTTTTATTAGTTTTACATCGTTTTATTGGAATTTGTTCGGAATTGACCTGGAATTTGTTCGCCTTCTGTTGAAATTGACCTGGAAATTGTGTGGAATTTGTTCTGGATTCTGCGTGGAGTTCGCTTGGATCTTTTGGGGAAATTGCTTAGTGTTTTTCTGGTACTCCTTTTTTTTTGTATTTGTCATTGAAATTGTTTGGATTATGGTAGGATTCCTTCGGAACGGTGCTGACAATAGCAGTGTTGACCCTTTGACCCATAGAGCCCATCAGGGGAATATACCCAGATTCACAGACTACACAGGCTATGCAGCTCCTCCGGACTCCTCCCAATCAACTAGATGCTCTCAACTTCTCAACAAAAACTGACTCACGGTACTCCAACATGTTTTCTTGTCGACGTTCATGAGGAAAATGATGATCAACCACTAAATCATCCACTTTCCATGATTTTCCACTTCTTTTTCTAGGATCAACCTCAGGCAAATGCTGATCTTCGGCCATTTTCCCGATCTTTTGCCATGACTCGTAGGTACCAACAGACGATCTCCTCGACCATCTACGCCTGCTTGGCTGACAATGTTATTGGAGAACGCCGCACTCGAGCTGGCGCCACTTGGCTCTGAAACGGCGCTTGCATCCCACGGTTTTTGGGAGGCACCACCTTGTGGTAGAATGAGGTGTGGCTTAACGAGTGGGTTTGAAAGAAATTAACAACATGTTTATTAATGTTGCTGGTTTTTAATGCCGAACTTGGAGGTAAGTCCCCAAAACTCAACCCAGTGTCAATTGTGGTGGGACGTCCTATTCAAAACAGCCCCCAACTATTGAGGAAATGATCTCCATTAAAGGTCTGGTAAACCAACAAAGTTCTATGGAAATGACCATGTGTGAAGAGGTTTAAGTCATCTATAAATGGGCCATCTAGAATCTATACCATAGCTATGTTAGTTTTTCTGAATGGTATTTACCAGCACTCTGGGAAGATGGGACATGCCTTGTAACTGGAGGTTTGGGGTAGTGATGAGGTCAGTGGTAGGTGATCCCCCCAATCGAAAAACACCAAACCCGTGGAAAATTAGGGTTAGTTTGAAAAAGGGGTGTCCAAAATTCCGGTGGTTATTTGCATTATCAGCATTTTTCAATCTAAGACCAATTTTTTTGGGTATACCGTATGCACCCTGTTCAGATGCACCCGAGTACATTATTTGCTTCTGTAAAACTGAATGTTGGTGATCTGGCAGTCAGACAGGTTTGTTTACTGAAGAACATCATCCAAATTGTTTGGGGTCCCAGTTTCAATGGATCTTATTACCACTGTTTTCTGAGATGCTGGTGATGTTTGATGATGTTTGGATGTTGTTTTTTTAAGCCTCTCCCTAGACCCGCCAAGTATCCATGTTCAAATGGGCACAACATGGTAAAAGTCCCAAGATGTCCCACGGCATCATGGATTTATATATCTAGTATATGTATAATATATATATATAGACTATAGACATATTGAATGTATATGATATATGATTCATATGATATATCTATGTAATCATTAATATCATTAATCACCCCGAAGTAGATAGAACATGGAAATCTTTCAGAGATCCCTCGGGTCGACCCGGTCTCTCGGCAGGTGAACTACAAGACATTCTCCGCCGGAAACCGAGAGACATCCTGGGTGGTCTCGTCCAGGTTGTCACAGGGTTCTGGTTCTTCACAGAATCCACATGGATAAAAAACGATGAAGCCCAGCCATGAGTCCATGATGTGTGGTTGGAATTGTGAGTTTCAACGGTGGATTCACCATTTTTCATAAACCATCTATAACTACATGGTTAAACAGGGGTTGGTAACTGTCCCATTTTGGGAATGTTGGACATCACCTTATAGTAGCCATTATAGACCATATACCTAATGGTTGGGTGATGTTCAATGGGGACATTTAATGACCCATGTTAAACAATATGGTTAATCTATAACTACATGGACAACATGGATGGTTTTCCTAAACCATCCATGACGTTTCTATCACTGGATGACGCACACGCCGAGGCCCTGGCCATGTCCTTTGGCCCGGCCATCCAGCTCTGCGTGGTCTTTTGGGGACCCAAGGAACAGGCGAAAGAAGAAGCGTCATCACTGGCTGGCCATGGATAGTACTGTATCAATCTGTATCAAACATTACGTGGGAAAATAGTAACATGACGTGGTTTGGAACATGTTTTTTTCTCCATATATTGGGAAGAATACAGTAATCCCAACTGACGAACTCATATATAATTTTTCAGAGGGGTAGGTCAACCACCAACCAGATGAGTATAACGTGAATATGAACAAGTATAATGAAGTATAGTAGGTGAATGTAAGTGAGTACTTAGCAGGAATATCCTTGGCTTCAACGTGGCACATGGGTTCCCCACCAGGGTCCTCTGATCCGCACGCAGGATGCATGGAGCAGCTCAACCTTTGAATTACTGCTGCTGCCAGGCCGTTTTCACGACTGTGGAACCGTTGTATCAAACAGGCCAGTGTAAAATGACATAATGACAACATATGACAACAATACCCATAGGCTCCATGTATGCCATATATGGTAACATTATGTAACATTTACCATCAATAAACCCCAAATGTTAGCATATATACCAGCACCATGGATCCTATGGGAATATACAAGTATTTTAAAAAGTTCTAGATGGAACGTGATGGAACCTATCAGGATGAAGGCTTCTGTGTCTCGAAGATCCGATGTTTTGCATCGCCATGGCTCCGATGGGTTTATCCCAAATCTGCAGCACCTTGGAGCTAGGAATTGTGAATGGAATCATTAGGAATCTAGCTCTTCATTGGGTTAGCTCAACCATTCAACAAAAAAACCACCATTCTTATTCCATTCTTCACAATCCATCAGCACCCGTTTTTGTTTTTTTAAAGGTAAAACAAGGCAGAGCCAACATGAAGCTCCAGAGGCTCCAGAGACTCCGGCTCCGCCGCGCAGGTTGGTTGTTGCTGCCGATGATTGGCGTGGCTGTCACCATGATGGTGCCCGTGGGAAAGGACACGGCTTTCTAGTGGCGGTCTCCGAGGAGAATAAACTATCAATGTGTATATCAAACATTGCGAAACAGAACTAACAGGATTGATGTGATAGATGAGTTTACAATGATACAGTAGATGTACAGTAGGAAAAGACATACATTGATCATCATCAATACATCTGCGATATGATATGACATGATATCAAATAGACATATATGCTGTCTAGAAACCTGCAACAAAAATGGACAAGTACTGTAACAACCTACAAAGAATGGCAAATTGAACAGAACCTTTTCTGCATCTTTGCCGGGGTTACTGTATACCTGCTTGCCATTTACATCCCCATTACATCTCCATTATGGTTGCTTGATACCTCCACCTTTCTTGACCCCAAATGATGGAAGTATAGCTTCTGGTAATTGAAGATAGCAATTGGAAAACCACCATTTCTACACTTGGTAAATCCTCGAACTAGCAGACCATACCTTCCATAGCACTGTGAAAAATTGCTGGAGGGTGGATCCCATACATAAACCGCAGATGAATCCAACTGATGGTGAATTTCCCCATATGAATCTCAAATCATGGATGTGTAGACCATTAGATCATCATTGTCCCATTTGGGTCCATTGTAATCCCATGAACATGGGCTTGGTAGATCCTTCGTAGATCCTTCGTAGATTCGGCCATTTCTGGGGCGCGGCTTCGCTGACTTCCGCGGCTCGCAGGAGCTGAGTGAGATCCCCAATACGGAGCCTTGGGCGAGAGCTGGGGAGGATTTGTGAATCTCATTGGAAGTGTATATGATATTAGTGTATATATATATATTAGTGTATATATCTGGGATATGCAGGATAGATATGGATAGATATGGATAGATATGGATAGATATGGATAGATATGGATAGATAGGAAACATAAGATATACATTTCCATATTATAGTATATATAGGATATGTAAGATGTATAGGATGTAAATGATGTATATATCGGATATACACATGAGATAATGTATTGTATGACATATATATATATTATATCACAGCTATTCATATGAAATATACGTGTATATTATATATTATGAATTATACACACATATTTTTTGTATGGAACAGATGTCTAAATATCCTTCAGTAGATGTCGTGTCAGAGCGGCGACGTGACCCGAGGATGATGCTCACCAGTGTCCCCGCAGCCCAGTGAGGGCAAAGATTAGCGAGGCTGGGTTCACCAACTGGACGTGGAAGTTGCCGGAAATATCATTTTTTTTTTTGAGTGAGATGATTCTGTGTGATTCCTGATTTCAACCAATTGAAAGGTTTTAGTTTTCATCAACAAACATGGGTAAGCATGACGAATCCAAGCCGTTTTGGACTTGTAGTGAGACTGTCCAAAAAACGAAGCAATTTCCCCGGACCTGGGGATGGTTCCCTTTGAATTTGGTAACCATGATTGGGGCAACCCCTCGATCAGAACATGTGGATTGGTTGTTTGAATTTGATACTGGGGGGTCCTCCAGACTATTGTATAGAGTTGTTAGCTTTGCAGCTATATTGATCTGAATTTGAGTGGGAGTGGAACAACATGAACGGAACCAGCCCACCCATGCCAATGTTGTTGCATACATCTCATGGTACCTTTGAGCGTGTGATGCTTACAATGACTTTGATATAGAGATGAATCATAAACAATCAACCAGAAAGGCTGCAGTAATACTACAGACAGGGGACATCCGTGCGCAGAGACACAAATGCGGATCGACGTGCTGATACTACACAAACTATACATATAATTACATAATTATGCTACGTATATATATATATATATAGATCTACATATGCATGCATGCATACACACTTTCGTGACATTGCTCCGCAAGAAGTGCATTGTGCAGCAGTCTCACTGCAAGGCTTGGTTAGAGCAAAGTGTTTGCTTTTCTCTCAAACGACGTTTTGCGCGGATGCTCAGAAACTTGCAGAACAGGGATTTGCTGAAACGAGTAGACCACTTCCGTTTTTCACCCTTTCATTTTGTTCGATGGTACATCTGACCATGCCGTTGTTTAGACATTGATTCTATCTCCATATTTACACGACACTATAAGATATTCTGCCACTGCATACTCGTATCGCCGTTTGGCTACTTTGAACCACCTTTCGTGGTACCCTCATATCAAACCACAGGTTTGTTCTATAGTGACCTCAAATAGATCCAAATGGGCATGGTTTACAGCTGACCTCAGATGTTTGTCACATTTGCTTCCTTCCAGCAGCCACTTAGCTTAGGTGGTGGCTTTGTCGGTGAATGTCTTTTTCATTGCTACATTGCTGGCCAATGGCATGTGGGGCGGCCAAATGCCGGGAACAGCTGGCACAACGATGGATGAGCTGATGATCGTGATGACGATGGTGGTGATGACGATGATGATTATGATGATGATGATGATGAGGAGGAGGAGTAGGAGGAGGAGGAGGACGAGGATGAGGATGAGGATGAGGATGATGAGGACGGAAGTTGTGTAGACTAAGATGGAAGTAAGGAACTCACACATTTTCTGTAGGATTTAACAATGTGCGGGTCTCACACTTCCAGGTTGGTTAATGTTCCGGAGCCAGACATGACAAATCAATCATCTATAACTACAATATATATATATATAATTCCATCCCCAGAAGGTCAGACTTCTCGAAGTGGAAATGAATAGTTAGTCTCTTCCAAAGAACATTCCTTTTTTGATCAAACCAACAATCCGTGAAAGTGGACCATAACGGGTAGATTTAATGACTTTTGTTCATGTTGCCAGTTTTTGCCCTTTGTTTCTTTCATTTTTGTTGGTACGATCCATTCTTGGTCATGTTGAACTGAACCTTCCGGGGCCGAAAAAAAGGGGTCCCCGCACATCTTCGGCAGGACGGTTCGATACTTCAGCTTGTATTTCACTCAAGTTTTAAGGCGATCCGGAAGTCTGGGAGGTTTTTTTGAGGTGATTAGATCATAGTCATGGGGGTACCCCAAGGATCCCCAAGGGCTGGATGGTTTATTTCATGGAAAATCCTATACTGCTTGGTGGTTTGGAACATGGCTGCTATATGACTTTCCATTCAGTTCCTGAACTTCATATTCCTGACATTGGCCTATCTATAATCTGGTTGGTGGTTTGGAACATGATTTTTATTTTTCCATATATTGGGATTGTCATAAAAATCCCAACTGACGAACTCATATTTTTCAGAGGGGTAGGTCAACCACCAACCAGTAATATTTGATCTAATGTATGGTATCTAAGATTAGCAGTGGCTTATAAAGTCTTATTACTCTAGACTCTGGTATATCAATCATAATATACAATATTTGATATATAACAACATATTTACACACACAGTTAGGAACTCGCTCCACGAATCACCCCGGAACCCCAGATCCAGCTTTGAACCTTGAAACCATTGAGTGGTCTCTGCGACAAACTTGCAGTATATCCATCAGAAAACATCAACACAAAACATAGATATGAAACGATGTGACCTATCTCGGTCAACGAGAATCTGGATTTTCCGATGAGGTTTCCTCCCTGGTTCCAATGTTCGCCAGGTTTAGCCCCGCCCAGTGTGGAAGCCCGGAAGTTTTCTCCAGGAAAGGTCAAGAATTTTGGGAGAACACGCACCACGAGAAATGCATATTTAAATGGCATGAAATCATAACTAATGGTTTTAAACATGTTTTTTTCAATCCTTCGCGATTTTCCCTTAACGCATTGATCAATGATGATGGTTGAATCTCCATCCATTGGTCCAAAGATTTGACCCTTGGTACCCTTGGAATCACCCCAGTGCCCAACTAAGATTCGTTTCCTTTAAAATGGGCCCCCAGTCATCATCCATTTATAGATGGGATATCATCCATTTATAGAATTTTATAGATGGGATTTTCCCGTGGAAATAACACGATCCAGCTATTGAATTATTGGCTACCCATGAAGTGACTATGGAAACTTCCAACCTTTCGATGTTTGATCCATCAACAAAGCAGGGAAGCGATGCTCCAAAGCCCGAGATGTCCCAAGGCTGTGCATGCTGAATGCCGTGTGCAGGCTCGTGACTCAACCACTGGATCCACTGGCTTGGATGTGGGGAATGTTCAACACGGGAAGTGCCAAAGCGGACTCACGTGACCTGGCTCCAGAAAGATCGAAATGGGATGATAATAACATTGGTTCCTTTCTGTCCGTTAATTTTCATCACCAAATGATCGGATTCGTCCTATTCCAAAAGTGAGTTGAAACGTTGAAAGGGTCCTTTTCCAGGGACTTTCCAGTCGACTTCTTTTGGACTTTCTGTGTTGAACCCGCCATGGCCTTTCGTGTTGAACGGGGGAAACAACGGTCGCCGCAGGCTTTTTATTGCCGCCTTTGCACAGCTTGGGAAACCTTTGTCAGGTGCGCTGTGTTGTGTTAGTTTGGTGGCCTTGGGACAAGCTCAATGTGGGGTGGTAACATTATGGATCATTATGGGATATATGTGGATATATCCTATACTAATATAATATCTAATATATAGCTATATATGGGATATTTTGGTATGATGTACTACCTTAATATCCTATAGTCATGAACTCATAGGGATATCACATGGGATATCACAGGAATCTATGGGAATATTATGGGAACTAGCAAAGTATCATTAGAATCATGGGATATCATAAGAATCTATAGCAACAGCCGAAAACAGAAAGCGAGAAGTAGAAATCGTACTAAAGTCACGGAAAATATGATCCTTTTCAGATCGTTTCAATCTTTTTGGGCTTTCTCCTTGAGTAATCAATCAGAATACGAACTGATGCTTGGCATGAAAGCGGGTCAATGCCCCCAAAAATTGCTATATGAAATTACCTTGAATTTCGTTTAGGTACCCTGGAAGGTCCAGGGAACAGCCTAAATCAAGTCTCGTTTTGTGGCTCGTGTCTCGCCAGTACTGTTGGGTCGCTGCAATTTGGCCTTGGTCCTGCACATAGGACGGGTGGCGAGCTTCACCCCCGGATGAATATCGCCTCCTGTAAAGGTAAATACGGTAGATGTGGCAAACGTAGATGATTTCCGGAAGCGAACAACCATGAAAAACCCATGGGTTTTCCACATCTATGCTAGTTTACCTTAGGGTAAATCATAGTAAATCATCGAATTTCCATTGCCCATCTAATGTTGAGGTACCATTTTACTAGCAGATGAGATCAACCAGGATCAGGATCAAAATTGCTTCGGGGTCAACTGTTCTACGAATGTACTTCCACTTCGCTGAAGGAACAAAACGCATAGAGTACACGTTGCTCGCGCGCTTTGATGTGTTTTTGCCACACATGAGGTATAGACTGCGCAGCTAACATTGCAAGATCCTTTTTTAGTATCTAAGATCAGCCGTGCTCATGAGAGATCTAGCGCAGAATCAGCTCTCTCCTCTCACAGCATTAGACCCAATGGAGGAGACATCGAAGTTGGTTTATGGTATAGAGATCATGCAAGAGACTTAGGGAAGCTTTCTGTGAATGTAATCTGTGACTGTAACTCTAGAGATAGTTGAGCCCAGGCTGCACGTATGATGTATATATATATATATATATTATACTATACTCTTAAATCTTGTATTGTAATACCCAAAACGACCTCACCAAGAATGGTGTTCTGTAAGGGTAAGCCAGCCAAACATGTTTTGTTTTTTTTCCCTTATTTGGTTTTAGGAATAATTATGGTAGTATGTGTCCATGTAAATGTATATTATTCATATTCTGTATCAGCCTGGCACACATGGGATCATTGAATTTTTCCATCGTGGATCCAGGATCTGCAATTGCGACCTTGGGCATCTATGGTGGGGGTTTCTTCAATCCTTCAGTGTCGCTCGGCAGCAGGTTTGGGCGAAAAACATCATCCAAAATGGGGCTTAAATACTTACCATCCATGTTTAGCCAAAACATGGATGATTGTGGATGATTCAATGCATTTGGATGATTTTTCTCCATTTATATCCATTTATAGCCATCTAATCATCTAAGAACGGCCGAGCACGGACATGACTCATCTTGGATCTTGGGGAAACCATTCTTAAGGAGGGCTATTTTTTTTGGGATTGTTCTCCCGCTTTTTTTTTGGAATTTTTACCCGTTTCCTGGTGAAGGAAGGGAAGAAGCAAGCAAGGAAGGAAGGAAGGAAGGAAGGAAGGAAGAAATAAACTTTAGCCTACACAAACCCTAAGCCAACCCTAAATAAACTCAAACCAACTTGAAATAACGCCTAAACCAACACTGAACAACCCTTAAGCCAGCTGCAAATAACTCCTAAACCAATCTTAGACAAGTTTAAAAGAACCAAATAACTCCTGAACCGACCTTAAATAAGTTTAAAAAAGAACCACACCCTAAACCAACCCTAAGTAAACCCCAAACCAACCCTACTTAACCCCAAAAAAAACGCAAACCAACCCCAAACAAACCCTAAACCAACCTTCAAACCCCAAACAAACCCTAAACTAACCAAAGCCAACCCTCAACAAACCCTAAACAAACCAAAAACCAACCATAAATGCATTTCAAACCAGCCACAAATAACCATTAAACAAACCCTAAATCCAATCCTAAAAAGACACTGGAACTAATTCTACACAAAGCCTGAACCAACCCTAAATAAACCCTAAACCATCCCTAAATAACTCCAAACAAACCCTAAACCAACACTGAATAAACCTTAAAGCAACCTAAGCAACCCCTCAACAAACCCTAAACAAGCCAAAAACCAATCGTAAATGCCTTTTTAACTAACCACAAATAAAATAACCATACACCCCCTAAAGAAACCCTAATCCAACCCTAAATGCAACCTAAGCCAACCCTAAACAAAGCCCACACCAAACTTCAACAACCCCTAAACAAACCCTATCCCAACGGTAAATGCACTTTAAACCAGCCTCCAATAACCACTAAACAAACTTTACTGCAAATACACCCTAAATCAGCCCTAAATAAGCCTGAAACCAACCCTAAAGAAACCTCAGACTCCCTAAACAAACTCTTGATCAACCTTAAACACACTTTAAACCAACCCTAAATGAATCCTAAATCAACCCTACACAAAGCCTAAACCAACTCTAAATAAACCCCAAACCAATCTTACCCTAAAGGAACCCTAAGCCAGCCTTCAAAAAAAACAAATCCACCCAAACTAACCTTTAAACCAACCGTAAATCAACTTGAGGCAAATACCATGAGAGATCCAAGCTCCAAAATATTACAAATGCCAGTCGAGTGAGATATCCAAGCTCCAAAATGCTGCAGACACCATGCTACTGCGAATGAGAAATATGTAAAAAATGTGTAAAATAAAGGGCGCACAGTGAGAGATCCAAACTCCAAAGTGCTGCAAGTACCACGCAAATGGAGATCTAAGATCCAAAACGGTGCGGTGCAAATGCCAGGTAAAACCACCTCAGCCAGAAAACGGGAAAAAAATGCCAAAAAGAAACGGAAAAAACAAATGCAGCCCATTCGAAATTAGCTTTGAAATTGGTCAAACATCCAGTTCGTTGAGGGTCTAGCCCCTGCCCAGGATAGCTGGGAAGGGCAAAGATGGGCTGGCCTAGAGTTTTGTTTCCCTTTGATGCTATGGTGATTTGCTCTCTGATTTAATGTGGTCATATGTGGGTTTTCCTGGCCAGCAAGATAGAAAATCCAACATGAAGAGTGTAAACATGAATTTAGTTTTCTTAGGCCACTATCAGCAAACATCGGCATTTCTCTGACTTGAAGACCTCGATTTCATTGGGTTTCAAGCTTTACGAAAGTCACTAAGAACAGGTTCGCCTCTCATTTGGGAATAGGTCAAATATTGGAGCGGTTTCTGGCTATTTCTACGGTCAAACTTCTTGGGGACATTACCTAGACATTACCTAGACCATTCTACACTTGTACATTTATAAAGCATTATAAAGCCATGTGGGCCATGTCCTTGACTGGATTCAGAAAATGATGCCTGCGTCATGCATCCTGGGTCTCCCACCAGCGACAAACCCGAGGCTTTGCGCATGCGCTTGCTATTTGCTTCGCTTTGCATGCTGCTTGGGATGACATGGCTATTGGGCAGAACTGGTGGTTGAAGATTTGAAGATGTTCATTGCTATTGCTACATGGTTTTCCCTGTTTCGAGCACTCCTGCGGATTCTTGAATCTGTGAATTCCAGTGCCATCGCCACCACCAACTATCATCATCATCATCATCATCATCATCACCATGATCATCACTAGTTCTATTCTTGATATGTGCAGATTACTACAACCATCAATATACTGTACTACCATCATCATCACCATGATCATGTTCATTTTTCACCTTCCAATTGTAGAGGAACCACCGGACCTGTTTCAGGTTTACATGCCCGAGATCCGGTGCTCTATTCCATCACCATGGATTGTGTACCTCAAAGCCAGCCACTCGCCTGGCTCACCTCAGGGGAATGGCGGTGGAATTGCCTCAGGGGATCGAAACATCGAAGATATATGGACTGTGAAACTGAGGGAATGATGGCGGATGGCTTGTTACATGATGGCTTTTGACATATATCTGGGTAAATTATAACGACCTCACTGCGACCTCACTGGAATCATGGTTAATAAGGGAAATCATTCCCAAATGGCCTTAATCCAGGTCAGTGAATTATTATAATTTACCCAGATATATACTTCTAATTTATTGAGGATTAGCCATCACCCACTTGATGTTGGAAAGGTCATGAAAAACCTTTTCACCAATCACTATTTCGTGGCATGGGAGGAGGGTATGTTTGGCTAAGGTGCTGGCAACAGTGCTACCTGCTGTTGAGGATGGTTTATGTGTGGGGGAAGAATCCCAAACCACCTTCAAACATGGTTGTTTTTGGTGGGATATTCATGGGGATATATCTGGAAATATAGGGATGTACCCTCTGGTAAATTATCAATAGCCAATGGAAATCACCATTTTGAAAATGGTAAAGCATGTAAATCATCGAACGAAATGGGCCATTTCCATTGCATCCCATTCCATTCCGTGTCATCCTGCAGGTGTGCCGATAGTAATTGCACCAATCGTATGACTGAGCGATACTTGGGACCCAATGAATTTTCATGGAATAATATGGGTATGGATCAATACCTATAAAAATACAATTGTTAGTGGGATGAACATCCATTTACCAGCTATTTTGGGGTTCACTACGGTAGTACCAGGGTTTTGACCCATCCCCATATCACCATATCCTATTCTTCGAAATCCGAATTTAGGTGGCTTTGGATTAATTATACAATTGTAAAATGCATTACTTTGCCCAATTGGCTGAAACAATGTTTGAGAGGTAAATCATTTTCCTGCATGGCGAATTGTTGCCTCCGATTTATTCCAGGTGAACTCCTTCATTTTTGCTGGTTGTATTCACGTCGCTTCGCGACGGCAACCGCCCGCACCGCATCGTTGGGCAGCCGCTCGTAACTGCCAATGATGTCGGCCATTGAGACCAAAAACATCCGAAAGTACTGATTGTCGGAAAAAAAAACGCGAAGAATTTGATAGCCATGTATAGCGGACCAACGCAGTTCAAAAAATAACGAAAAACATGAAAAAAACGGCGAAATTGCTGTTATTTACAGTGTTTTTGCGCGGTGAGAAGCAGAAACCACTGCAAATACCATGGTTTTTGAGGGTCAGGTGGCCAAAAACACTGTAATTTACAGTGTTTTTTTAACCAACGTCAAAAAACACTGGTATTTACGATGTTTTCATTCACACCGTAACATAAAACAGTGTAATTTACGAGGTTTTTGGAAGTTTTGAAGCTAGCCGTCAAGCATGCAGAAAACAGAAAAACACTGTAAAAACCAGTGTTTCTGCTATCACAAAACGACGAAAATCAGTCCGAAAACGGGTCCAAAAACTCAAAAATCCGCCTCCGGGCCCGGCCACCTGCGGAACCGCAAAAAAAGATGTTGCAAACCAAAAAATTGAGGTCAAAAAAGTTGAAAAACACGGGTTTTTTTCACTTTTCGCTTGCCGATTTTGGACGGGCGCGTTCACGAACAGGTGTCTTCCGTACTGTTTTTTACAGTGTTTTTTGAAGGCGAGCGTCACGACCTATCAAAAACAGGAGGTTTTGGCCGAAAAATGCCCCCCCCCCCCCAGGTAAACCTGTAACCTTTTACGAGTGCCATCCGGACGATCACGCCCCAGCACCTTCGGTGCGGGCGGATTTTCATTTTACTATATTTGATTGTGAAATCCAGATGTTTGTTGGTTACTGTGAATCCTCTTGTTGTTTCCCTAATGTTTTGATGCTGCAATCCAATGAAAAACCTGTATTTGTGCAGGTTTTTCATCTCACAGGTGTTGCAGATCAAATCACCAGGTTCCCTTACCGGTGCTTAGTAGGGAATGAGGGAATGATCCATAATCACCAGTAATAATGATCCCATTCCCCCATTTTCCATTCCCTACGTTTAGCACCAGTTTCCCTTATTTTCGGACATGGACTACCCTCTGGTAATTTCACATAGCTATTGAAAATGGCCCAGTCGAAATAGTGGATTTTCCCAGCTAGAACATGGTGGATCTTTCCATGGTTATGGTGATGTTTACCAGAGGGTAAGCTCCAAAATCCACATTTTCTCTGGTGAAGCAATCGAGTTGAGGCGAAGCCGCTGGGCTGCGCTGAACTCGCAGGGGCAGCTCAGTGGGGAGATGGGTTTCTAGCCATCATTTTGATGGAGGGTGAACCATGGTGAACCAGTAAAATCATATATTCATGTATATGATATATGTATACATATATATATATATATTACCATTTACCATAATGAATAGGCTACCCCCAACGACCCTCGAGGCTGCGCACCTTGTCTTTCAGCGCCTCGGCCGTGCTTGGCGGCTTCTTGGCGGCTCGGGGCACCCAGGGGATCCCAGGGGATTTAACCAGAAAACATGGTGATTTAACCAGAAAACATGGTGATTTAACCAGAAAACATGGTGATTTAACCAGAAAACATGGTGATTTAACCAGAAAACATGGTGATTTAACCAGAAAACATGGTGATTTTGGTGATTTAACCAGAAAACATGGTGATTTTAACCAGAAACATGATTAACCAGAAAACTGATTTAACCAGAACATGGTGATTTACCCAGAAAACATGGTGATTTAACCAGAAAACATGGTGATTTAACCAGAAAACATGGTGATTAACCAGAAAACATGGTGATTTACCAGAAAACATGGTGATTTAACCAGAAAACATGGTGATTTAACCAGAAAACATGGTGATTTAACCAGAAAACATGGTGATTTAACCAGAAAACATGGTGATTTAACCAGAAAACATGGTGATTTAACCAGAAAACATGGTGATTTAACCAGAAAACACGGTGATTTAACCAGAAAACACGGTGATTTAACCAGAAAACATGGTGATTTAACCAGAAAACATGGTGATTTAACCAGAAAACATGGTGATTTAACCAGAAAACATGGTGATTTAACCAGAAAACATGGTGATTTAACCAGAAAACATGGTGATTTAACCAGAAAACATGGTGATTTAACCAGAAAACATGGTGATTTAACCAGAAAACACGGTGATTTAACCAGAAAACACGGTGATTTAACCAGAAAACATGGTGATTTAACCAGAAAACATGGTGATTTAACCAGAAAACATGGTGATTTAACCAGAAAACATGGTGATTTAACCAGAAAACATGGTGATTTAACCAGAAAACATGGTGATTTAACCAGAAAACATGGTGATTTAACTAGAAAACATGGTGATTTAACCAGAAAACATGGTGATTTAACCAGAAAACATGGTGATTTAACCAGAAAACATGGTGATTTAACCAGACAATATGTGAATTTATAGTGATTAAATGGTGATAATGATATAGTGATTAAATGATTTTGATCGGCAGAACATATTTGAAAATATAGTGATCACCATTTATATAGTGATTAAATGATTTAACCAGAAAACATGGTGATTTAACCGGCAACACATATGTTGTTTCAACAATGAGGCTCCAAAACTGTACTGTATGCATCAACACAATGGATTTTCCCCGTTTCAGCCCGTTGAAATCCAGGATCGACACGGCTATCAGTTCTCCTTCACGGTGACCATCATTTTGTTATTGGCCCCTGGGCAGAGCTGCGGACATGACGCCGAGACACCTTGGGATACATTGGCTGCAGCTAAAGAGCTACCCTCTGGTGAACTAACATAGCAATGGAAAATCACCATTTTTAATGGGAAAATCCACTATAAATGGTGATTTTCCATTGCTATGTTAGTTCACCAGAGGGTAACATGGGCCACATTTTCATGGGAAAATGAAGTTCTCAACGTCTAAAGCAATGGATTTTGGGTTGTTCCCATCATTTTCCGATCGGCCGATAGGTTGGACAATGGCAGATGAAAACTTCGATGATTTGCCGTTTCGAAAATGGTGATTGTCCACACGCTATTTGGATGTATTTGGTATAATTATTATAATGTGGTACACCCAAACCATCCCTAAAATCCCAGAAATAGATCGGTAGAAACCCTTAAGAAAGGATAGGTTTATAATGGTTTATATTTAGTTTACCACATGGATTCTTTGTTGGTGGTTTGCAAGTATTTAGTTCTGTGTAAAATCTAATGACCTCATTGTAACGTCGTGAATCATGGTGAGCGTACGGATGACTATCCCAAAATTACCTGATTTCAGGTTGGTGCATTTATCTCCAGATATATCCCATCCAGAGTATTGCCTCATTTTTTATCCCATCATATTAGTTATAACATGTTATAAACCATATTAACCTATATTAAACCATATTAAGTCATATTAAACCATATTTTGCACCATGACTTATCATGTCATATCCCCATGATTCCCCATCCAGATAAAACAACCGTTCATCCCATCCGGGGGATCTCCCAATTTCACCGCGGCCAAGGCTTGCACGATTTTCATGTTGCCAGCAATCCTATGGTTTCCACGAAAGGACGACACGATGATTTGGGCTCTGTTTTATCGGTGGCACTGGAAGGTTTGTTGGGTGGTTTTAAGGCCCCCACAAAAACTTAGGATATACGAAGTTGGTGCAAATCACTAGCTCAACCGTGATTTATACTATTTGAATTGATTTATAGTTACAACTGTAGTTAGAAGGGGTTACACAGCAACTTATGACTAGGGGGCCACACATGTTTTTCTGGAACTCGAATAACTAGGGGTCGCACATCCCTTTGGCATTCTGCGAGAGCAAAGGTGCCATGGTTCACCCAGAGAAGCTTTGCACTGCCGCACTAAGTGGATGAGGTTGCATTCACCACATCATTTGTGGGTTAATTTCATGCAATTTCAAAATTGGGTGGTTCATGCTTTTCATTTCGAAATTGGGTCGTTCGTGATTGAAAGTCCACAAATTCTCCGTGCCGGGAAGAATGCTTGTCTTGAAACCCAGTTGGTACTCATGTATATGGGTATGTGTCAAAATTGGGTACCCCAATAATTCGATGGTTCATAATTACCAACAATCGACCAAAATCGCTGGTCCTCTAAGTCTTAAATTGTGACCTATACTTTTCAACTACATGTTGTTCAGTCTTATTCCACAAGTATTTATTAAATTGTCGTATTAGTCGTATTGTTTCTTGTACGTGATGTATATGATCATGTACTTATTCCATTATATATAATGTATTGATGTATTCCGAATATAGTATAGAGTGGATGTAACATACAATATAATATAGTGTAACGTTTTATATAACGGAATGCAATGCCTTCCGAAGATTGTTGCTCGAGGAGGGCGAGCAAGCCCAGGTGGGGATGATTGGGTTATAGTTTGATGGGGTTATAAATGAAGCGACAATCATATCAGTTCTTGTTTTCTTCCATGAAAGTAGATATCCCCTTCGAAAATCTTCAAAATTGAACATGTTCCATTGCCAGCATTTTCAGTGGAGGATAATCAACCCATAAAAGGGGAAGTGAAAGCAACAACGGGGAAGTATGGCATTATTTGCTTCGGCACAGTTTCAGAAACAGTTGAAACAGCTGTGTGTTTATCATCCAGCAGTCTCGGTTCTCAACCTGCAACATGATGTAGAAAGTAAACACCTCACCAGGAACACCAATCTCGAGCACCGATACGTGGGGAACCACCCAAGAGCCGTTGCGCTTGCGATGATCCTGTTGAACATGGCAACTGCCCAGGGCAGGAAACCATGGTTTGATTACACGGTGAAGTTATCGCAAGTGGAAACCCATGGGTTTTTTACCCCCAAATAGTTTGGGTTGTCCGTGCAGATCTTCCCTGAAACCACTGCCGGGAGTTTCATCCAAGATTTTGCAGCTTTCCCCTGTGGTTATCTATAATATCGCCTGGCAATGGAAATCAGAATCGCAAACCAAATGGCAGAATTTCCACAGATTAGCATGGAGGTTTACCTGGAGAATGGCTTAAACTGATCTAAAAGAAGAAATTACCCTTAATGGATTGTTCTTGGAACTAGTTTATGGCAAAGGTTCTTTTCAGATTATGCCCAGTAGCCTCATGCTTTGAGATACTTTCATGGCCACCACACCATAGGAATATAAAGGGAACGCAGATATGCCGGAAGTATTTCAGGATGGGCTATCTATATTATATGTCTATGTTCTATATCCCTCTATACTTCAGCTGTAACGTATATAATACATGACTTAAATCTGAGGCAAAACCTGATACGATCAACTGCTGTTTTTGGTGCAAGCTAGGGATTATGAAAATAGAGAGAACCATGGTTTTATTACACCCATAATTCGGGATATAACCTCTTAAAACAAACAATAGTGAAAGTACGTTCAAGTATCACTAGAACTGCACCTCCAACTATACAATATACATATATATATATAATATATATTATTCAGGTATTGATATATATATATATATGTATATATAACATTATTACTATGACTATGTATCCATGTTTGGTGGTTAGTCACAGCCCTGTTTTCGTTGACCAGGCCTCCTCCGATTCGCTCATCGAGGAGAATGAGGAGACGCCGGAGGCGGAGGTGCAAGCCGTTGCTCGGAGGAAGTTAAGTCGGTTAGCCTCCAGTGTCAGTGTCGTGGCCCAGTGGCTGGCTGCAACACCCCCTATAAACAGAGATTTAGAGATTATGACTATGATTATGATATGAATGATATATTAGTATCCCCTATAAAATCCCCTAGTGGGAAGATATGGGAGAATCATGGAGGTTTTTTAATGGGAGATGGGTTATTTTTACATTTCCATTGATGATTATTAATGGTTATTAATGGTTATTCCCAATCATATGATGGAAAACGCCTTTCTCAAAAAACGGGAGGTTTATAGCTGGCTGGGGGGAAATCATCGAACTTGGGAAACTCAGAGAAAATAAGTCAACACTTCGAATAGCAAAGTTGGTGCCAATTTGCCCGAATTCCATGGTTTTTATTGTAGATATATCGAATGAATTAATGGGTGTTAGAGGGCAACGCAAAAAAAAGTGGAAAATAACTGTTGACTTTAATAAACCAAGGAAACAAGGTATTGTTGACCTTATAATGTTTGATGGGAAACCCCAGATAATGGAGGAAGAATGGGAATCTTGGAGGAACACTTGTTGGGGGAATTTGCTTGAACATTTGTTTGAAAAATGGGACCGCCCAAATAATTGGAGGAATAATTGGAACTTCATCAAAGGGTAGTTCTTGAATTTTCATCCTACAAGCCATCGAATTCCAATCAACAGTGGTTATAACCTAAGGATTGATAGGAATTAACAGGGTTAACCACTGTTGATTAGAATCAACTGGCTGAATTAACTGGTTGATTGGAATGTTATTAACCTAAGGAATTGCAGTAGATTGATAGAATTAACAGGGTTAATTGAGCCAGGACTGTGATGATAACTCACTGATGATAGAATTAACCCAGTGATAATTCCAGGGAGCATCCAAGCTTGGTCGGCACGGCTGATATGATTTGAAAGTCCAACTTGACAATCCACCAGAATGTTGAATCGTTGTTTATTCACTTGTGGCTTTCGTAAAACGGGGGATCCCCAAAAAATCCATGGGTTTCAATACTAAAATAGTCGAAGTTTGAACGATTTGGGGTACCCATCATTTTTGGAAACTCCCATTGTTTTTTCAAAGCCCACGCACCTCCGAAATTTGGGATCGGGGATTCGCGCTAAAGTTTCACCGATGCTAGGATGGGTCCCCCCAGTGATGTTTATTGGTTTATAACCCCATCCAAATGTTGTTATAAGTATCACACACTATTGTTATTTTTAAACCAACTTGTTGCAAACTATGGGGCCCCATCCTGTACCAACTTTAAACTGAGGTTATTTGCATGTAACATCCAAGATTCATGGTGCCCACAGATGGGTTCCAGCCAGACTCCAAAGGTGATGATCAACAAGGACTAGCGATCACCATGACTGGGGATGGTTTTGATGCCAATCAAAAAAAAGGGTGATGACTTGGGGATTGTTTACGGATATATGATATAACATGATATAACCGATATAACCACACTTTATAATGGGGAATAATGACAATCGATTTTGGGAAGTGTTTATGGTTGGGTTTACCACATTATTCCAAATATGTGGTCAGCTCGGTACCCCATTCTAGGGGTCTTACGCTGTCATTTTAGGGATGAACCCAGCGACCGAATCGAGGCCCCGTCGCGACCACTGTGAGTGGAGTAGTAGATCAGTGCTGATGCCCTGAAAAAGGACGGCTTTACGGGATGGAGGTACTAAGAGGACTATGAGACCACAAGTTTGGTCGAAGTCAGAATTGATGTCTTTGCCAACACAGATAGATTTTGTGATGCCGTTAAGACCCGCTCTGAATCGTTTTTTGTTGGTTATGGGTTTTGTGTCGCTTGTCTTAACTTGTTGCATTTGCTTCCATCATGTTTGATCCCCACGCACAAATTTGCATCTTTGCCTCTTTCCAGAATTTGCCCGAACAAACAAAACAGGCAAGACGTGGGGAGAACACACAATTGTCACGCTTCAACATGATTGTAATACCTTTGAAATCATGTGTAAACTCATTGATTGCCCTATTTCTATAGAGAAAACACTTTAGGGGATCATGCAGTACGTACAAGTTGCGGGGTCCAAATCGGGGTACCAATCGACCCGCACCTATTATGATCTATTATGTTTAGTTTCAAACCAGACATCATAGTCGGATTTGGTAGGTTGATACTTTTGAGCCATACCCAATGGCAAATGTTGTGCCAATGATTTCACTGCGTTTCTTGGATTTGTCTTGGCGTGTCCGCAACTTATACTGCATGATCCCCTAAAGTATCGTCTTGGTAGAATAGGGCCAACATGTTTTTACATATTGTTCACACATATTTGCAAAGAGTAGACACAGATTGCATTCTATTACATCGGCATTACATCGGCTTAAATGGGGTTCCCCAAATTAATATATGTTGCATTGGGTTGCGGTGGCTGCAGCAGATGCCCATGGTGATCCCCACTCAACATGCAGGGAATTGGATGGCAGGTCGGGTCGTTTCGGCGAACGGTAGAAGGGTATCAAGAAATGGGGACAATGATGGTGATATTGTTCCATCCCAAAAGACGCAGGATTTCTCCCATGGAAAATGCAAAGCTAGTGCTGATATAATATGATATAATATGAGATAATATGAGATAATGGGATTCAATGATGCGAGTCTTTCGCTGGTAGTTTCAAAATGTTTCAAACGATTTGTGAATTTTCCACTGGAGACGGAAAGGGAGGTTGATCCCAATTCTCTTTCATACCCCTTGTCATTCTGTTTGGGATGGGTTGACACCACCAATCAGTAAGCATTGTACAGTAAACATTCCCTTGTTTGAACTAGGCATTCGATCAATTCAAAATCAACTCACCCGCCAGTCTACTGCAAATGCGGAGCAACTTTCAATCGTACGGATTCAATTGTACAGATTGGTGGTTCCAGTGATTTAAGTGGTCATCTTCAGTATGCTTATATGACTCATGACCATCACTTGGGGGGTCGGTAAATTAACATAGCCATGGAAAATAACCTCGTGTCTTATATTGATACAATAGGTAAAACTAGGCAAAACATCCACAGATGGATCATTTCCCGTGGCTATTGCAATAACCAAATGGTATCCTATTGAGCAAATAGTTAATTAATTTGAATCGTTGCGTATATTTCCCTCCATCTATCCAGTGACTCAAGGTTTCTATCCAGTGTGTATATCCAACGTTTCGGAACTCAACGCGTTTCGGTGGAAGGTTTTTCAAGATGTTCAGGCTGATGACTGGGAGTTTGCCACGGTGGTCTTGCCACAGGCCGGCGTGGCCCGGGATTTTTCACCTTCGCAAACTGTCAGCATAGTGGAATTGACCCGTATCGGGATAATACTAGATATTGCTGGAATTTGCTGTAGATATACAGTAAAGATGCATGTCAATATATGATTTGTTTCGATATTCTCCATCTTCTATGTCAGTGCATATTTGTGGATGCCTTGGGGGAGAGGCCAGCGTCTTAGACTCTGGAGAGATTGGATGTGTTCGGGCGCCCTGGGACCCCCGCCTTGGGATGTTGATGATCGCCCCAGAATGGTGTCATGCCCAGCAATTTGGGGGCAACCATGGTGGTTTCAAGTGGTGATTTATCCATTGGTTCAAGAGATAGAATGCAGTGCAGGTTTTGATTTAGCATCATATTATTTGGAGTTTCCCATGATTTGTGTCCCTTCTATCATTTCTGAGAAAGATGGTTTTTGTGTCAAGAAGGGATTCCATAGGCACGTATAGGCACCCCAAATGTGATGTTTTGTCAATGTTTGTCACAATGTTCCCTGTTTAAAGTTGTCATTCAACAGGGATACGTAGGGTATTCACACTGTGAAACATAACAATATATCAAATTTATGCATGTTCTATGTTTGTTTGGAAAATCATCTAAAAAAAGCTGATACAAGATGAAACAAGCCAAACATTTGCATTGCCACATTAGATTACTAAGGATACCGAGAAAATATGTTTGACAGTACAAAACATGACCAACACGTGTTGGTCAAAATGGATTTGTATTTTGTCCCAATGGGCATGGCATATCTCAAAATTTATCTAGTGTTTTGTAATCTGACGTGGCAGTGAAACTAGGGGTTTTCAATTGCAACACTGGATTCCCACCAAATAGCACTGAAGTTAAGTTGCATAGCAAATTGCCAGGAATGATCTCAGCAACCAATTTTGCAGGTCACTTAGTGACTTAGTACCCCTTATATTGAGCCATACGCCATGACCCTATAGAGTTGGGTCAACTACAAGCATGTGTATGTATATATTGCATGTTATAACTATGGGATCTGTGCCGATCGCTCACTCAACGGAATGGATATCACTACTGTCAACCCGGGATAAAAAAGAGCTCGGTTGTTTCCCGGGTTTACTCTGGTCCACTCTTAAAGGCATTTTTTGCGTAAGGAACCCGTCCTTAGTTTGTGAAGAAAGGACGAAAGGAAAGGAAAGATGCCAGTTTTCAATGTGGGGAAGTTGGGGATGCCCGTTTGAGCGATAAAAAAATCAAGCCAGACTGCCCATCCCATGTTTGGTGGTTTTGGGGATGATTTTCTCACCAGTTTTTGATTGGTCGGCAACTCTTTGTGTTTTCTATCCCTATTTAAGAATATGTGTTTTTTGTCTTGTTTTGCTCTAAAAAGTACTACGATTCCCCGAAAGATGAGTCCAGCAGATATGGGACTAGTGGCACTACCCGACCAATTTCTTGGCGAAAACATCGCCTTGTTGTTCCGGGCTTCCGCCCAGGCCAAAAAGTATTCCAAGTGGGAGCAGGTTCGGATTGGATTTGGTGAGCCAATCCAATTGTTTTTTGGGATGCAAGTTCAGAATACCTTCTGGTAAACTAACACAACTATGGAAAATCACAATTTTTAATGGGTAAATCCACTATAAATGGCCATTTTCAATAGCTATGTTAAATTACCAGAGGGTAATGACCTTGGACGACTTGGAGTTTGAGTTTCACTATTTTGGAGACCCCCATTTTCTTGTTGGCAGTTTGCAGGAATGCGATGCCAGCCATGCAAGGAAGGAAGCGTCTCGAGAAATGGTGGGGGCACTCAGGATACTTCAATGATGTTCAGAGAGTTATGAATATGTTGACTGAATAAATGGATGGTTGGATGGTGTTATTTTCAAGGTCAGGATCAATTTCTAATTATGGAGGCTGCAGGATGAGTACTGGTACGATGCTTGCCTGAAATTCTTCCCTTGAATCATGAATCCCGTGAAATTTCAAGGTCTCTGCTGCTTCCCAAATGGAACAGGGCCACTTCGAGGCGGCGACGGGCGCCATTGGATCATGAGATCATGATGGGAGTTTCCCTGAAAAATGAGGGGGGGTTCCTAAGCTGAGGGATCCCCAATAGCTGGAGGGTTTATTTCATGGAAAATCGGAAAATCCAATGAAAATCCCAATCTAAAATGGATGATTGATGATAACTGGTGGTAGCCTTATGGTGGCTACCGAGACCCTCCCAGTACCTCAAAAAAATGAGAACAAATGAGGGCAATATGCCCTGACTTGGGACTTTGCATCAATTTGACAATGGCTACTTGGAGGGTTATTTAACTATACTGTATATATATATATATATGTGTATATATATATATATACAGTTTTTCTCTATGCAACTTGCAAATAGTGGAAGTTTGCGGAATGTTTTTTGTGTTGCAGGGTTGTTGCTTTGCAGTTTTTCCGGCCGCAACATGTGAAGTGGGTCCTTATTTGGGTCCTCATTTGCCTTTCATGACTTCATTCGTGGATTTGTCTGAAAATATGGTACCCGAAAATTTGAGAGATTAGCATTTTTCTCCTTATTAAAATGACTCTTTGGGGGGTATATCCACCATTTTTTGGGTCATATTGTCCTCTCCATTTTCTTTATGACAGGACGGCTTGGTCTGCGCTGAACGCGCACTGGGGACCTTCAGAGCCCAAGGCAGTAGCTGGAGGGGAGGGGACCACTTTTTCTATGGTCCTGTTTGGATGACTTGGTCCAATTTCAGGAACCAAAATTTGACACATGTTGACCATTTGCCAAAAATCGGAAGCTGCTTTCTGCCTTTTTTTTTTTTGCTGGGATGGAGTGAAATGTGTAGCAGGAGATTCAAGCTTCGAAGATTTTTTGGCAAAAAAACATAGACTGAGAAGAAGACATCAAGTTTGGAGACGGACATCTCTTGACCATCGCCAAAACATTGTTGATTCATGCTTGGTGAAATAGTCCTTCCATGATGGTTTGAACATTTTGGTGTTGTTTCAATTGTTTGTTGATGGCGTAGCATGGCTTCTTGTTGATGCTATCAATCAAGGTTTGTTACCAAATCATCATGAACAATCATGAACATTCATGAACCATCATGAACCACCATTAACCATCATAGACTGATTGTTGATCATCAACCCCCCATTAACCATCATCATTAACCACCATTAACCGTCATTAACCAACGTCATTAAACTATCATCAAACCATCATGTTGTTGTCACGATTGTTGATCAGTACCGAGGCGACACTGCAGGAATCGTCGATGCCATCCGCCTGGTGGTGTTGGCGCTGAGAGCCAAGGTGACACAGAAGCGCTGGAAGAATGGTTTGATGATGGTTTGATGATGGTTAATGATGGTTTGATGATGGTTTGATGATGGTTAATGATGGTTAATGATGGTTAATGATGGTTAATGATGGTTAATGATGGTTGATGGTGATTTATGATTTGGTGATAGGACTTAGACGTTCTTGGTTTCCAAGCATTTTTGTTTCGGCTGGTGGTCCCCTATTTGGATCTATTGGGCATTACATGTCAGGGTTGAAAGCACCAACTAGAGAGCAGTTGGTGGCTTCGGGTTTTAAGAGTGTTTTAAGTGATTAACACCAACTAACATATTTATTTATTCATGATGAACTTAAATGAGTAATATGTTGAAAGAAACAGCCGATATGAAGAGAGAAGACATACAAGAGCCGGTGATCCAGGACAAATCGGGAACCAATACATACTGGTTGGTGGTTTTAAACATTTGGATTATTTTCCATCATATATGGGATAATCCTTCCCATTGGCTAATATTTTTCAAGGTGATTAAAACCACCAACCAGCATAGAGATCCAGTCGTCATTTTCGAATATGTTGGATTCCTATGATGGCAGCGTCGGTTCATTCATGGCTTCACTTCCGTCTTGCAAACATCAGCCCATGAGCCGTTAAAACAAAATCAGATGTGTTTTCTTCTTGGAAAAACGTAGAGCAGGTGGTTCTAAGCCCAATATTGAGTGTGTAAGCTGCCCTTTTGGACATCCTAAGCCGTTCGAGTATCCTCTGCGCGTTGATCCATGGCAGGGAAGACTGAAAGATGCTCACGACTTGGCATCTCGGCAGATGATGGATGGGATATCTGACCCAGACAACTCGCTATAAGATGTTACATGATATCAGAACTCATAACAGGTTGGGGAAATCAACTATTTTTGGTGTTTTTTTTTTCAACCATACGAATCCGTTGTGATTCGTTGAGATGACGAGCATCTCCTTGTCTTCAAGCAACGCGATTTCGGCCCCAATTTTCCCCATGCCGTCCACGTGTCCATGATAGTCCACTAGAAACTAGGGTTATAAGATGTTATAAGCTGTTATAAGCAACTTTTTTTTTCAATGGGATAATACATGACAATCCACTGGTAACTAGGGTTACGCACTTGTAAATGGGATAATGTGTATATAATGTGTGTATATATATAATATAATGTATTATATATATATATATGTTCTTCTCGCACCCGAGTAGTATATGTGGGGGGATAAAAGGGGGTGATGCGTTAAGTTTCGGCTCACAGCAGGGGGTCGAACCTCTGGGCTAGACCTGGCCAGGGTTAGCCCAGAGGATTGGCTCCTTGGTGCGCCAAGGATCAAAAGAGCCCCTCAGACTCTACCCGAGTTGAGGTGGCTTTGGGATAGACCCAGTCAGGGTTAATCCCAAAAGAAAAGGTGAAGAAGAGGGACTGGGCCATCCCTTTAAAAAGGGCCCTGAAAATCCCCCCGCAGAAGGAGGAGAAAGAGGGGGGGCCTCCTGCGTGCACCAAGGGCCGCATCTTCCCTGTGGGAAGCCAGGCTCAGGGCGCGCCCTGTGGGCGTGAGGCAGGGGCTGTGCCTCTTGCCACCAGACCCGTCGCCTTTTGAGCAATGGATCAGCTGCTGACATTGGGCAGGCAGCTGGGCCTGAGTCCTGAGGATGTGAGCTCATGCTTGCGTCTAGGCCGAGCGCTCAGTGAGTGCAATTGGTGCATTGCTGCCGATGTGGGAGCAAGGGCGCAGGAGGTCGCCCGCGATGTGTTCGAATCAGGCCGTCTCATCGAATATCACTGCTATGACGACCATGGGAACGACCAAGGACGAGGAGTGCTGAAGCTTCTCAATTGGGAAGACGCCTCTGAGGGGCTTTTTCAGGCTGAACATGGCCTAGCCTCTGACCAGTATTATGACTGGTATGCTCAACATGAGCTGAGCAAGGGGGCCCTTTATCATGTCTGTCAAGGCAGTGCAAAGAGCTGCAGGAGGCGACTGCCAAGAGGGGACCGTCGTATCCTCATCCACGTTGATCGGTGGCGGCTGCTCACCCCCCAGGTCATGTTGGATCAGCCCTACTTGAAGGAGCAAGCGGCGCTGTTGGGCCGGGCCGCCATTGAAGAAAGGGCCAAGGCTGCTGGCCCCATTGTGCCTGGAGACACCGGCCTGGACGCCGCCTTAGCCGGGCCTGGCCCTCCAGAGAGAGGGGTGGCCGCGGAAGAGGATGGAGAACGACGCAGAGCCTTGAAGGCTGCGGAGGAGGCACCTCGAAGGAGGTCACGGAGCCGAGGCCGGAAAAGGCACATCGAGGATAAGATGGCAGAACAAGAACGCCGGAAAGCGGAAGCAAAGAGCCAGGTTGAAGATGAGAAGGCAAAGAAAAAGAAAAAGAAAAGGAAAGCTGATCGAGGACGGCGCAGGAGGAGTAGCCCTTCTTCAGGGAGCTCCTCCACGCCCTCCAGTGCCTCAAGCTCAGGGTCACTTTTTCGGTCGTCCTCAGTCCGGGGAGGCGACATGTGGCGCCTGTCGCAAAAGAAGCCCGGACGATTAACAGAGATGTCGCTCAAGAGAATGAGCCGCTATTTAGCGGGGCAGGCAGAGACAGGCCTCGAAAAAGGCGCCTGGGAAAATCAAAAGGTGCTGGCGTACCTCAACCAGATAGTGTTGAGCGCTGCTCCCCCGTCAAAGATAGGGGTACGGGCACATCGAGAACTGGTCACCCTAGCGACAGCCCTGGACGAACTCTTGGCGAGCCGCACCCTGCACACTCTGGACATCTTAATGCAGCGGTTCAAAGCCCTCGAGGCGGCGATCCAAGATGGCCACTGGAACCTGGCAAGGCACTACGAGCTCATCCCAGTGACAAGGGCGATGCTGTCCCGAGAGGAGGAGAGAGAGCTGGCCACCAAGGCCGAGGTCAGGCAGCTGAAGTTGAAAGAGGCCATCACCAAGAGTGGGAAGGCCAACAAATAGGAAGCCGGCAGCGGGTCAGACCTTTGGACAGGGAGACCCGTGAGCCAGAGTCGGAGTCCAGGGAGAGCAGAAGGCGATCAGCACGATCCGCCCCAGTCCGGGGCCGCCAACGAGAAGGTCAGACGGGTGAAGTTCGTGGAACTACGAGCCCGGAAGGAAAAAGAAGAAGGAAGCAGCCGGAAAAGCGCGCTACGCGCAGAGCCACCAGCTCCCCCGGGAGAGGTGGCCGGGACACGCGGCGGGCCCGATCCCCCTCAGAGTACAGACAAGAGAGAGGCCTCCCCCGTGAGGTCAGTGAAGGCCGACGGAGAGGGAGCCAAGGCAACAGGAAAGAAGGGAAAGTCCCAGGTGAAGGGATTCTGGAAGGGCAAACGCGGAAAAGGAAAAGCTTGGGCGAAGGGACCCAAGAAGGGGTCAGGGAAGTCCGGCTGAGTGGAGGGCCCTCCTCGAGCCACACTGGATTAGAAGCAGAAGCAGCTGATGCGTTGGAGGATCAGATCAGCGGCATGTTGAGGGCTTGGCTCAAGGATCATGAGTTTGGAGGACTCTCAGCAGCACAGCTGGCTTCCCATGTGACACTCCAGATTTGGCATTCCCCTAGCCCTCTTCAGCGGTTGATGGAGTGGAACCTGCAAGCCACGGAGCCACACCTCTTCCCCCTTCCTTTATATGGCATGATGATGTTGAGCACTTGAAGATGGTGGTCACCGCTGGATCGTACAAGGATTCAACAGGACAATGGCGAGAAAGGGGAGACACCAGAAGCAGAGCCCAGAAAGCTCTACGATTGGAAGGCCTGAAAACCTGGCATGGGCTGGCCGTGATTGGTCTCAACTTCCTCCATGGTGACAGAGAAAAAGGTACCCCGCCGTGGCCGGGCTCCCAGGCAACAATTGCCCAAGAGCAGGCTCTGGTGAGGATATGGGATATGCTCAAGGTGTTCTTTGATGACAAGGAGAGAGTAGGAGTGCCCAGGACTCCCCTTCATGATTGGGATCAAGAAATCAAGGACCTGAGCATCTCCTACACCGGTGAGGTGGTTGAGAAGGCAAAATGGGTCACGCTGGAGCAGATCCTGCCTGGATTGCCCAGCCCAGCGCATGGGGGTTTGGTGAACATCCTGGAGTTGGTTCCCCCGGACATAGCAGAGGCCCTTCAACACCCTGAACGGCTGATCCGAGAGGACTGGCCAGAGCAGATGCCCAAACTGCGGGTCCTTTGTGAGGATGCGGAGTGGGACAGGGTGGTGGAAGCCCTGTTTCAGCGCAACATTGTTCAGCCCATCGACACTTTTGTTCAAGTGGGAGAGGACCACGTGCTGAACGGGGTTTTCGGAGTTCCAAAGGCTGACAAAAAGCTCCCATCCGGAGAGGAAGTCCTCAGGCTTATCATCGATTTGAGGGCGTCAAATTGGTTGCTTCACCAGCTGGATGGGGACACCCAGACTTTGACCGGAGCAGCTAGTTTTCAGCGGATCATGGTTTCCGAGGGTGAGGAGCTCCTGGTGAGTGGTGAAGACTTGGTCTCCGCATTTTACCTTTTTGCTCTGCCGGCATGTTGGGCCCCCTTCATGGCGCTTGGCAAGTCAGTGCCTGGCCGGTGCGTGGGTCGCCCGGAGGAGGAGTGGAGCTTTGTGGGCCTGTCAGGTTTGCCGATGGGCTGGCATAGCTCAGTAGGTATCATGCAGGCGGCCCACAGGCGCATTGCACTGGGCTCTCCGTTGAGAGGCGGTGCGGGGCTGTCAGGACTGGCTGAGATCAGTCGTACGGCGGTTTTCCCAGATTTGGATGAAGGTGCAGGATGGTCCATTTATTTGGACGACACTACGATTTTGGAAAAGCTCTCGGCCCAGGCGGTGGCAGACCTTGAGGGAAGGCCTCCGAAGGAGCAAGAACAACTGCGATGTGCTTATGAGTGGTGGGGGATTCCCACCAACCCGCAGAAGGCGCTGGTACGCTGTCAGAAAGCGGAACGCCTAGGGGCGTTGATCGATGGAAAAAGAGGAGTCTTGAGGACCACCACAAAACGGAGCTTGGACCTGATTTCTTTGGGGACCTGGATCCGCGGGCAAAAGTGGGTCCCAAGGAAAACACTTTCAAGTGTATGCTGGAAAGGCAGTTCACATCCTACAATTCAGGAGATGCCTGTTTTCATGTTTGGACGTCCTTTTCAGGGCCATAGCCCATGGGCCTTCGAACTGCCCAGTCACAGAGGAGCTACGTTCGGAGATGTTCGTGTTGGAGGTCCTCTTGCCCCTCACACAGTGTGATCTCAAGGCAGCAGTGGATCCGATTGTGACGGCTAGTGATGCCTGTGAAACGGGCGCAGGCGTATGCTACGCATCGAGGTTGACCCGCGCAGGAGAAGAAGAAGTGAAGCAGATCCTGGAGACTGGGGAGGTCCAAGGGCGCACCGCAGTGGCTGATCCAACCCAGCTGGGTGAGGAAGAAAAGGTGCTGATCATTGACCTGTTCGCAGGTATCGGCGGGTTGACACTTTCCCTCGAAAAGGCGGGGGTCCACTGGTGCCACTTAGGCATTGTGGAGAAAGATCCAGATTGCAGGCGCCTTTTGCGCCGGACCTACCCAGGAGCAACCTTCCACAGCGATATGACACGATTTGGCAAGAAGGAGATTAGCGACCTGATCAAAAAGGTGCCAGGAATCACCGGCGTAGTGGTGGGGGGAGGGAGCCCTTGCCAGGGACTCTCCCGCCTGACAAGCAAAAGGCGCCATTTTGATGATGAGAGGTCGAGCCTTTTCTTTGAGGCCAGCCGGATTTTCCGAGAGGTGGATGAGGTGGCGGCCGAAAAGAAGCTGTGGGTGTTGAAGATGCTCGAGAACGTGGTCGCCGACCCGGCGGACATCAGAGAAATGTCTAGGGAGCTGAAAATGCAACCAACTTTGGTCGATGCACAGTATACTATACCTGTCAAGGGCTCGGCGTCCCCGGCTGTTTTGGTTGTCAGTGGAGCCAGTGTCGGTGGACGACGTAGAAGTGGTCCAACACCAAGAGTACAGGCAGCTGGTGTACAAGGCCAAGGTGGAACCATTGGCTCTGTTTCTGCATGTGTGAATGGGAAGCGGGTCTGAGAGATGAGAAAGCCCGTTTCCCCACCTTCACTCGGTGCATCGCTCGGGCACGCCCGCCACCAGACCCTGCGGGGTTGAGTGAGACGGAACCAGGGGCACGCGCCCGTTGGGAGAGTGACCTGTTCAGGTACCCTCCCTACACATACAAAGATGAGTACATGGTCCTCACTCCGGAATGCGTCCTGAGGCCGCTGGTGGCTGAAGAAAGAGAGATCTTGATGGGGTATCAACCTGGTCACACAAGCCGACTTTTGAAGAAGCCACCTTCCAGTGAGGGAGAACGCCGGGCCGCAGAGGACATGCAGTGCTCGGCCATTGGAAATTCGTTTCACACAAACAGCGTGGCGTGCCTCCTTGATCACGCCCTGGCCACAATGGGCCTGAAAACCAGGAAAGGCGCCGAAGAGATTGTCCAGTCATCCATGGCCAGGCAGGCTACAAGGTGCCAAGCCACTGAGCCCCCTCTGGTCGAGGACAGTGAGCAGAGTCAACTAGGCCGGGAGGATGATAGTATCAGTGTGGGAGGTGCCTTGAAAGCAGAAGAGATGGAAAGGAGAGGCCGCAGCGCAAAGTTGCTTGCGGATGAACTGCATGATGAAAAGAAGCTGAGCAGCTTGTTGGTATCGGCTTACGTGAGACGCCAGGAGTTCCGGGGGTCTGATGTGCGGTTGGACATCAGTGCCCTTTACAGGCCGGACTCCTTCCCGAGAGGCTCATCCACTGAGCCCCACCGGTGGATTTGGCATCGGTCCCATTCCTTCCCATTTAAGGGAGGAGATCACATCAACGTGCTGGAGCTTCGTGCCCTAGTACACACCTTTGAATGGAGGCTCAGGAATCATGCCTTCGGAGGCTGCCGCGCCCTTCACTTGACAGATTCGCAAGTGGCATTGGCGGTTTCCACCAAGGGTCGCTCCAGTTCCCAGTCGCTGAACCGCATCCTTCGAAAGTTCGCTGCGCTGCAAATTGCAGGCGGCGTTTGGCCACTGCTGGCCTACGTCGAAAGTGCCAAGAACCCGGCCGACGGGCCGAGCCGAGAATATGAGTCCTAAAAAGGCTGTGATCGCAGCTGGACTTTCAAAGGAGCAAAGAAAGCGACAAAGGGGACAAATCGGGAAGTTACGTCATCAGGTTGTTAGCAAGAGAACCGAAGATCGATACCAACAAAGTTTCACTGAATTTAGGAAGTTTCACCAGCTGGGCCCTGCGTTTGGACTGCCCCCTTTACCAGTTTTCGATGACATGGTGGCTGAGTATGTTGAGCACCTCTGGGAAGAAGGAGCCCCAAAGTCAGCTGCCAACTATGTGGTGGCAGCCATACAGTTCTACCGGCCGGAATGTAAACATCATCTGGCTTGGTCATGGAAACTGGTTAAAGTATGGAACCAACTGGAGGTTCCTCAGCGAGCTACTCCTTTGTCTCCTGAGCTTTTGATGGCCTTTGCAGGCCAAGCTTTTCGTTGGCAGCAGTTTGAACTCGGGTGGCTGCTCGTCGTCGGGTTCACTCTGTTCCTGCGAACAGGCGAATTGCTGCAGATCAAAGCTCAGGATGTGGTCATCGGAGGCAAAGCTGTGGTTTTATACATGCCCCCATCAAAAGGAGGTAAGAGGCTTTTTCTGCCACTAGAACGCGTGGAAATGGCAGAGCAAATTACTTTACAGGCCTTTCGGGCCCTGCTCCGCCACAAGCAACCAGGAGATTTGCTCTGGTCAGGTACCAGGCAACATTTCATGTCCCTCTGGCATTCTCTTGTTGATGCCCTCAAGCTACAAAACTGCAACTTTTTCCCCTATAGCTTGAGACGAGGAGGGGCGTCAAGCGCCTATCGAGCTGGATCCAGTTTGGATCAGCTTGTCACTCAGGGCCGTTGGCAGCATGTTGCCACTGCCCGTGTTTACCTCGACACGGGGTTACAGGCGCTGGTGGCTTTAACTCTCCCTCCGGCAGCCCGCCCCAAAATTCAAAAGGCCACCGCGTATTTTCGCACTGTGAGCCAGTCAGGGACGCATGGAAGGGGGGGTCCCTAGTGAGGAGCTGCTTGGCACTAAGTGCAACAAGTGGCTCCTTTTTGGGCTGGCTTGGAAGCCCATTTGTTCAGAAGGCACGGCATGCAGGTGGTGCGAAAAGGTGCTTGCCGTTGCCGGGTCGAACTAGGAACCCCCTTTTAGAAGTGTAAGATATGTTCTTCTCGCACCCGAGTAGTATATGTGGGGGGATAAAAGGGGGTGATGCGTTAAGTTTCGGCTCCCTCCTACCCAACCCCCGGGTCCCTAGTGAGGAGCTGCTTGGCACTAAGTGCAACAAGTGGCTCCTTTTTGGGCTGGCTTGGAAGCCCATTTGTTCAGAAGGCACGGCATGCAGGTGGTGCGAAAAGGTGCTTGCCGTTGCCGGGTCGAACTAGGAACCCCCTTTCAGAAGTGTAACATATATATATATATACATACATATGTTCTAACATTTGAGGGTTTTGTGGATAAATTGAAAGCACCATACCTTGATGATCTGGGTAAGACTTGGACATATGACCAACACCTACAGGACATCTGGCTATGAATTACAATTCTTGACCGGGTGGGGACCCATTCTCACAGCCCCAACAGAATCCAATAGAGCATACTATAGCCAAACATTGTGAACAGTGGGTCAAATAACTCACAATGGTGGGTAGCTGGCAATAATGCCGTAGCCAATCCTCATGGTTGAGGCAGACTTGAGGGGTGGCGGAAAGCTGTGAAATGATACTGTATTGTTTGAGACTAGTATTTGGAGGGTTCTGAAAGATGGGTGGCCCAAAATCATTCAAATGTTTGTCACTTTTGTCACTTTTTAGTGGGGAAAGCAATGGTTTTGGCGGTGCCCCAGCCTTGAAAAGCACCGTTCATCCATGGAACCCCAACATTCCCAAGTTTTTGACCTATGCCCGGATTTATTTGAAAGGACAGCACCCCGAAATCCAATGGCTGTTTGATGATCACATTCCCCAATTACTAATGATATCCACCATTTTTGGACCCATATCCATTATTCATTGATGACATCCTTATATCTTGATGTTTTTTGATGGTGAAATCAGTTAAATCCCCATACATTGGCGAGTGAGTTCCGAATTTTATTGGCCTCATAGCTACCAGTCCCAGGTCTACCATCAGATGGAGGCCTTTAGTGGCCTAGAAAGGGCCAGAATGCTGCTACTATTGGCTCACATCAATCACAACAAGCCCTGGTCTGAGACGATGAAAACTGGATGGGTCAGCTGGGGTACTGTAACTGGGGTAAAAAAGGATTCCAAGGACTCCAAGGATGCAAGCACTGAGCAGTTGCTGCAAGATTCAGATTGTTCAGAGTTGGCTTTGTCTGAACATAGGGTCTCTTTTTGCTTCCCCCAATCTTGATGGTTTACCCTCTGGTAATTTAACATAGCTATTGAAAATCACCATTTTTAATGGGAAAACTCACTATAAATGGCCATTTTCAATAGCTATGTTAAATTACCAGAGGGTATCATGAGTGTTCCCAAAAATAAATGACCACTTGCAGACAGATTCAGATTCCAAGAAATCGCGAACAAGGCGCGGGAGCAGGAATCGAGAACGAGCCAAAGAGTGCAGTTCTCAGTTTGGCTGCGGGTTGACCAGCTGACCAGTACAAGCTGGTTGATCGCCCAAAAAAAACTACTCATAAACTATTGTTATAACCTGGTAAACAGAATTAACAAGATAGAAAAGTGAATCTTCACAATTTTAATGGGAATTTACTGTTCTATTTTTTTGTGGATGCCCATAGATATACAGTATTTGCAATGAATCCACTCCTTAGGCAAATAAACCTTCGTAGCTAAACTTTTAAGGCGCACCTTTTCCTAGTCATAGTCGGTGACTTTGTTGGATCCTGCTCGGGGGTGCAACTCGCAACTTTTAAAAAGCTGAACTCACCATGGTAAAAAAACCATTCACAACCATTAAGAGCCCTCAATATCCATAAATCATAAATCATTAGATATCATTAGCAACATTGAACAACCATTTTCATATATCCATATATATATATATATCCAAAAACTGATATCATCATATATCCAAAAACTGTTTGATTAATATCCATTTCATAGCCATTGAATGCCCATTCACCATGATGGCAGTTCCCGACAGGTGGGCGGCCTCTGCCCGGCGGCTCTTTGCCGAGCTGGGCGAGAGTCGTCTCGAGGCGGTCCCCGGGTGGGGGAAAAATGGGTCAACGGTCAACGTTCAACAGATGAAATTGGCAGACTGGGAGGATTCTAAACATGATTAAGCTATGAACTTACTGCACCATAATTTCCAGGGTATAGAAAAAAATAAACCATATACCATCGATTTTCCAGGGTATAGAAAAAATAAACCATATACCATCGATTTTCCAGGGTATAGAAAAAATAAACCTATGAACTTCCTGTACCATATGACTGGGAGAGTAAACATCGAGAAAAACTATCTATGAATGGGGGTATCTATAGGATTACTGACTGCGGGAGTCAGCACCCATGATGAATATAACTTAAAATATAACCATCTAAATTCTGGATTATTCGATAGGGTGCCAGGGTTTTGACTCATAGCCAATTACAATCGGTTTTCAAACCTGGACCAGGCACAGGCGTTGCTAGCGCTCGTGAACATCGTCCTGCTGCCTTGTTGTATTGATGATCCCAATTCACTCACATTTTTGGGGATGGGGTGTGTTTCCATGAACCAGAGACTTCTGATGAATTGCAACCTGTCGGTGGATTCGAACCAATAAATTCCTGTCATTATTGAGAACTAGTGCTGCAGTTACCAGATAGGGAAAATTTATTACAAAGCTGGGGATTAAAAGTCGAAAATTGCTCCGCTGATGTTTCCATGCTTCCTATTTGCAAAACGTCATCCAATCCAGGCAATCCATGAGCATGATGCAGCTTGTAGAGTCAAATCTACCGGGAGCTTGGGTAGTCTTAGGGGTAGGCCGTCAACTGCTTTAAGAAAAGACAAACAATATTGCCAAACATCCAGAAAGATTGGGACTCTGACAGCGCAATGAACGGTTTCTTTGCAAACGATGTCTGCTCATTTTGGACTATTTCTCACTTTCATAGTTTGTTAGAGTCTATCAGTAACATCATTGCTAATGTTTGATACGGTATGATCTGATATATTCGTATGAACATCGTCATTTAACATCTCCATATATCTCCAGCATGATAGGCATTGAATCTCAACACGTTTTTTTTTCTCTCGTGCCGATCAAAGACGTCTTGCGGGAGATGAGAGCCCGATCAGCTCGTTGAAGATTGACAACGGAGGAGGGATCTGAATGGATTTCAAGCCGCCAATTTATGGAGAACAAATCAGACATAATCGCACATGCCAATTTCATGGGTTTGTTACGGGTTTCCAATTTGTAGCCATGTTGATGAAGCGATTATAAACCAAGATCAAATTTTTGGAGGTCCCCGGCTCTTTTTGGCTTATAACCAAGCCTGAGCTGAAGGGGAGGTGGGCCCACCTATTCACCCCCAGCAGCTAGTTTTTACGGAGCATCTTTAAAAGGATGTGCACTTGATCTTCAATTTTTATATGTTTCACATCAGTTCCAGTCAATCACCTCCCGCTCCGCTCATCCTCCATGAGTCACTGAGTTAGTTCCAGACAAAAGATGCAGGACTCAACGTTGTTCCCGATGATCCTGGTCTGTCCAAACATCGGGCCCCCCCACAAGACTATGGATACAGGATGGTGCCCCCCAGTTATAAGTTGGTTTATAAACCCCATTAACTATAGTTATATCTGCAATAAACCATAGGTTTAATGGGAGTTATGTTCACCAACTTAGCTAACTATGGGGCACCACCTTGTATGATTTGTTTCCTTATTAGAATTGCAATTTTGAGGTGCCACGGTGCCCAATTTCTGAAGGGACCCCTTTCCATGGACACATAAAGCAGAAATTGACTGGTTCAAGCACCATGTCAAATTCAGTCCACTCACATTCAATCTCCAGTCAAACAGTTATATAAATCCAGATTAAAATGATGAAATGCCCATATGAATCGCCAATATTGGTCAAGGCCTTTCCCCGCAGGATGCGCAAGGTGGACCCTCAGTTGCAGGCGGTGCGCGCCGCGGCGCAGCAGCGGTTCCTGGCACAGAAGGCCAGCGCGGCGCCGCAGGCGCCGCAGGCGCCTGGGGAGGCGGAGGGATCATTATTTATCCTTGGTAAACAGATAAATCCAGGAATAGCTTCAATGAAAGTGGAAAAACCCAAGGATAAATCATCCTCCAAATCAGCATTTTTTTTAATGGCTGATAATGATGCACAGAAAGCATCTGTAAATGGTAGCTGTATTGGATTGTCATTCGTGAAGATATTGCTGGGATGACAGTATTGACCGGGGGCCCCGATTCGTTGATACGATGGTTGTTCATCCCGCGTGTATACGGTATACATCCACGGATCAATGGGATACGCTGAGTTGGAGAATTTACCCTCTGGTAAACGTTTACATAACTATGGAAAATCACAATTTTTCATGGATAAATCCACTATTTCTATGGCCATTTCCAATAGCTATGTTAAATTACCAGAGGGTACTAAACATCCCAAACTATTGAATCATCGTTCTGAATCACTTCCTAACTACCGTAATACTCCAAGACTCCAAGTGTTGGTGAAATGGTTGGGTTGGTGTCAACATGAGAGTCATTGGGGTACCAATGGACTCCCAAATGGCCAATGGCTCGTCACTTTCAGGGAGCTCAAAGCATAGTTCTGGGGGATTTTGATAGTTTGATGCATACCCACAGAACCTCATATTGATCAATATACTGGAATAATGTAACAATATTATTGTGCCTATGGATCCAGCCGTACCTTCTTAGGAAGTGTTTGGGGTATGATTTGGGGGTTAAGTATCTTCTCAGGAAGTGTTTGGATCCATAGGGCATATATATATATATAATTATATATATAATATGATGTGGTTATACAGTCGATAACATATTTAATTTGTAATGTCAAGTCAGGATTAGTCAACATCCCGTTATTAATCAACCTCCTCCTCCCATTTTTTTTTGTTTTTTTAAAAACAGGTGGCCCGGTGGCCCCCCTGCATTAATAAACCGTTTGGCCGGGAATGATTAATCACCCCCCCCTGTGCTGAAATCCATTTTTTTATCCAAAATTCTTTACAAAAATCATCAGTTTGGATCCCATGTCCCCCAGAATGAGCCAACATGGCTGCAGACGATCATCACATGCACGCATGCACAGACGCCTGGACCTAATTAATCAACCAGCAGTGCTGAAATGTGAGAATTTAGCAATCAAATGCCATCACTGCCATCCCATGCTGCAATGTGAGATTTTAGCAATCAAAACTCTTTCTGGCAGTGATGCTGAGAATGAGCCAAAATGGCTGCAGATAATCAACCTCAAGCGCTGAAATTCCCTTTTTTGTATCCATAATTATTTATTTCCAATTCTTTTTTCTGGTTGGTGGGGGTTATTAATCCATAGGTATTAATTATCCCGGGTGGTTGATTAATCCTGACTTGACATTATTAATTATTCAGTCTTAAAAACCCATCACTGCTCCCATGCTTCCAAAAACCAATCACTGGGTCCCATGAGATTTTAAGATTCAAATCTTATCAAATCCAACGGAATCTTATGGGTTCCATGAGATTTTAAGATTCAATCTTGTCAAATCCAATGGAATATTATGGGTTCCCTGAGATTTTAAGACTCAAATCTTGTCAAATCCAATGGAATCTGATGGGTTCCATGAGGTTTTAACTATCAAATCTTATCAAATCCAATGGAATATGATGGGTTCCATGAGATTTTAAGACTCAAATCTTGTCAAATCCAATGAAATCTGATGGGTTCCATGAGGTTTTAACTATCAAATCTTATCAAATCCAATGGAATCTGATGGGTTCCATGAGGTTTTAACTATCAAATCTTATCAAATCCAATGGAATCTGATGGGTTCCATAAGGTTTTACCTATCAAATCTTATCAAATCCAATGGAATCTGATGGGTTCCATGAGGTTTTAACTATCAAATCTTATCAAATCCAATGGAATATGATGGGTTCCATGAGGTTTTAACTATCAAATCTTATCAAATCCAATGGAATCTGATGGGTTCCATGAGGTTTTACCTATCATTTTTTTTCAAATCCAAAGGAATCTGATGGGTTCCATGAGGTTTTAACTATCAAATCTTATCAAATCCAATGGAATCTGATGGGTTCCATGAGGTTTTAACTATCAAATCTTATCAAATCCAATGGAATCTGATGGGTTCCATAAGGTTTTACCTATCAAATCTTATCAAATCCAATGGAATCTGATGGGTTCCATGAGGTTTTAACTATCAAATCTTATCAAATCCAATGGAATATGATGGGTTCCATGAGGTTTTAACTATCAAATCTTATCAAATCCAATGGAATCTGATGGGTTCCATGAGGTTTTACCTATCATTTTTTTTTCAAATCCAAAGGAATCTGATGGGTTCCATGAGGTTTTAACTATCAAATCTTATCAAATCCAATGGAATCTGATGGGTTCCATGAGGTTTTAACTATCAAATCTTATCAAATCCAATGGAATCTGATGGGTTCCATCAGGTTTTACCTATCAAATCTTATCAAATCCAATGGAATCTGATGTGTTCCATCAGGCTTTACCTATCATTTTTTTTCAAATCCAAAGGAATCTGATGGGTTCCATGAGATTATGACAATCAAATCTTATCAAATCTCATCATATCCAAAATTTTATGGCTCAATGGTTCAGAAGGTGCTTATTATTAAGGGGGAACACTAGGAAAGACATCACAAGGTCTATCATGACCTATAGGGGGGGTTTTCAATCCGGTGTTGGCATTAATTCGGATACAAATAAATCAGCTTAAATCAGCAACTGTCTAGTCTACAGGACTCCACCCAGGGAACATTTGCCCAGGCTGCGGTTGCACCTAGCCCACCGAGCGGACCCAGCTCCACGTTGCCGCCGCATTTGGCGCACCTGACGCCGGAGCAGCTCAACGCGCCCATCGGGTCCCTGCTGTCGGATGCTCCGCCGGAGTATCGAGCAGCCAAGAAGCCACGCGTCGCGGTGCCTGGGCAAAGGGGGAAAGTCCTAGGACACCTACGTCTCTTTGGGGACGAAACCATATGAAATTCCACTGTTTTTGGGATTTGTTGCATGATTTTGGGTGGTTTGCTTGTTCTAGTTCATCTATCTACGGTAAGTACTTGAATGATATTGGGCCATATCTATTTAGGGTGCCGCCAATGGTACTCGTACAAGGAACTGCTCCAAGAACCGGGTGGTAGAAACAACGACTTCATTGTCTGTTTAGCAGAGTAACCATCCTGAATTTTCAGGGCAAAGATGGATCACAGAATGTTCGTTGATGAAATCGCCAAGATTGTATTCTTCAGACATGACTGTATCAATCCGATGTTTGGGAATAAATGTCCCTATTTAAGGTTGGACATTTTTTTGGATAGCCATTTGCTATCCAAGGAGAGTTGACAATGTTTGCGATATTGGAAACTCCAACATCATATCATATCTGTGAAATTCTGCAACCTTTAATTTTGTTCCACCCGAAGAATCTGTGCAACAAGATCAAGGTGAACATTGGATTACTTGGATTCTGGAAACATTGAAGAACAACCATCTCCAGCACTCTAACATAATCTACTGGTTGGTGGTTTGCAACATTTTTTATTTTCCATAATATATGGGATAATCCTTCTCATTGACTTTCATATTTTTCAAGATGGTTAAAACCACCAACCAGTCTATCATTGTGATACTCTATCATACTCTATCCAATCTTGGGACAAGCCCTATATTTTTCCCATGGCTCAACAAAGCCATGGTCCCCGCTGAACCCAGGATCCCAATGCCATCGTCATCTCAAAGGACCGGACCGCCGAGATCGCCACGGCGTTGGCACAGCCGGCGCCAACAGAACTGCGAATCCTCACGTGGAATATCGATGGCTTAGATGAAGTTGGTGGAGGCCGGGTGGGATGGTGGAAACATGGGGAAATATGGGGAAATTCTGGGAAATTCAAAAAAAGAGCTTGGCTGGAAGCCAAAATGTAGACATGTTGCTTTTTAATGGGGTACTATACATGTGATGATATGAATTTAACATCAGACATTTACCATGCATTCACATGCCATTAATTGTCATGAATGGACATGTTTACCACATATTATGAGTATGAAAAAGCCCAAATCAATAGCCGGGCCCGCAAGAATTTTCTTGATGAATCCGGGACTGATTCGGGAACTGGGCTAAGCGGCACATTTTGTTGCCCCATCCACCCCAGATGTAAACAAACCCATCCCCTCAGATATACCGACCAATTGATTGCTGGTTGCCATGCCCAATTTTGTGGCTTAATATCATTTAATATCGTCATGAACACGTTCAATTTCGCCCAAAATTTACGGGTTGAAACACCCCAGAATTCTAATGATATCCTCGAACATCCATATAGGCGCCATCCTAGTACTTAGGATCGTTTTGATATATCTATATTATATATTCCATTAGTTGAAACCACCCAGCCCGATGTCACCACACTTTCCATTGGTTATATCATAGCTTCTCCATAGATTATCCATATCAATCCATCTAAAATCCATAGATATCCATTGAAAACCATAGATAATCATGAGAAATCCATATAAATCTATCAGATTATCCATAGAAATCCTGTAAAAACTCCATAGATGATCCATCTAAATCAATAGAAATCCATAGTAAATCCATCGAAAATCCATAGATTCTCCACATAAATCATTCTACATCCATAGAAATCCATATAGATTCTCCATAGTAAATCCCCTTTTTCCAAGCGCGGTGCCCAGGTCAAGCCCTGGCCCAGCGCATGCTGAGCATCGCCCGCGACATCGCGCGGCATCGCCCCCTGGCGGCGCTGTTGCAGGAGGTCATCCCGCCAGCGCTGGAGCTGCTGGGGCGGTAACAGAGCCAGAGGGTAATGGGATGTAAGGGATATATACTGTGTATATACCCTCTGGTTATTTAACATAGCCATGGAAAATGGTCCATTTATAGATGGTTTACCTATTAACAATGGTGATTTCCCATGCCTATGTTAAATAACCAGATGGTGTATATATATATATATTATATAAGAATATATGTCTATATGGTAGATAGTGATATGATACTATGATATATTGACATGATATATGATATAGGTAATGAGTCAATGATACCAATGGCGATCATAATGATAAGCAAGGACAAATAAATCAAGAACATGTAATAATTGTTAATGATGACAATAGTAAGTAATAATGATAGTAATAATCATAATAGTAATAATGATAGTTGTTATCATTTAAAACAACAAACACATCTATATGGTAGATCATGATATGTAACATGATATATATATATATGATATGATATATATATAGTGATAATAGTGGTCATGATATGAAATGGGATATGGATATGATATCCATATATAAGTACAGTAGAAATGTATGTATACACACCATAGTACACCTATCATTGTATTGACTTACCAGATAGATTATGGGAAAATCAATGTATGTATTATCAATGAGATATTAATGAGATATGATTATCAGAGGTGTATATCATCCATACAGGTTATTAATATGGTATACTTACTTGATTTGTTGACTCAATGTATAGATATAGAATTGTTAATTCAATATAGAACAACGGGTACTTGGAGGGTCTAAATATACTCGATAGCTTGTTGTTGGTGAATCGGGGTTCATCCCCCCAAAGCTTGGGTACGCTTGTTTTGATCCACCCTCAGATGGGTTTATAAACCAACCAGCACAACTGGCTGGTGGTTTCAACCCCCCAGCAAAACTATGAAAGATCATCATTCCATTTCTTGGATGGAACATCATCAGTGGATGTCTTGTCTGTCCCTGAAGTTTGCATCATGCGGGTCAAAATTGCCTCTGAGGTTGCTCTCTTCCGACAAAGTTCTGGGCTCCGCCTACGAGGTGGTGGTGCCCCAGAACCCGCCGCTGCCGTACTATGTGGCCATCCTGCTGGATAAGAAACGGCTGAGACGCCTGGGGGAGCCCCAGACCCTGCCCTTCAGCAGCAGCCAGATGGGTCGGCAGCTACTTGCCGTGACCGTGGAGCTGGTTGGGGGGGATGCTGGGCCACTACTGCTGGCCACGGCACATTTGGAGAGCACGAAGGATGGATGGTGGGCTTGGGGAAACCATAGGGCCATAGGATGCCTGGGAAAAACCATTCATGTCTCCCATCAATCCCAAAATATCCCCAAACATGGACACATCGAATTTGCACGAGTGAAAACTCAGAATGCTTCCAGCCTGGTTTTGTTTCCATCATGGGTAAAGTAGTCTTCGGCGACCCCAAGCTTGACCCCAAGTCAAGATGTTGGTTGCTCCCCGGCATAGGACCATGCTACCGAACGGAAACGTCAGCTGTTGCAGTCCTTGCGGCATTTACGGCAAGCGGTGTGTAAGACACCCAGGGCGGTGAGTGCTGCTCTACTGGGTGGAGACTTGAACATTCGAGATGAAGAGGCCGGGAAGGGCGGAGCCGGGGTCAAGGGTTTGGCGTCTGGTCTGATCGTTGTGAAAGTTTAAGATGGGGATCAAAGAATGGTGCTCCACTTCCAGTTTTTCATACATTTCTCCAGGAGTTTTGCACATATTTGGGAACTTCACATGTTTGACCTCTTCACAATTTTCACACATTTCTCCAGCTTTATCCAAATCTCTCAGCCAGACGCAGGTACCACATGATCCTGGGTAAACCTTGCTTTAGGTCAAGGTGCTTTCAACACAGGAATATGGGGCTGGTTCAAACCTATTATCACTATATTTGGGAGAAGAAAAAGCATCCATTAACTCATTAACTAGCTATTTTATGCTATTTTTGGGTAGGGTAGGGTTTTGACTCATGGCCATAGAGCAAGCAGCAAATTTTGGCTCTTTTCTGGGTATGTAAGATTCGCCATGGATTTGGCCACGAAATCTATTGATTTTCCATGGTTCTCCTGTCAAAAAGGTCGCTTTAACCGCCAAAATGGATGCTTTAATATACTGAGATTCTAAGATTCGCAACTTTTGTGGGTCCAAAAAGTTCTCCCATAACTTTACCAGTACCCAGATCTGGAATCCAGATCCCGGATAATCATAGAGAATCTAGTAAGCTCCCAAAAAATGGAAAAGGATTGAATCACGCTGATTCATCACTGCCATAGTACTTAGAGGATTATCCCACTTCCTAGTAGTAACTGGTTAGTAACCATAGTCAATATAATCCATTTATAAATGGGATATATATATATATATATATATAACCCTAATTAAGGAACTCAAATGAACTTACTAACTAGGTTTATTAATAATTAACCATTATTAACCTATTTCTCCAATTTGTTTTGCCTTGGAAACTGGACGTGTTCCTTTTAAGTGCCCTGCAGGTCAAGGCTGTCCACAAGGACCTGGGCGACGAGGCCCATGGCTTTGCAGATCTTTGGAGCTTCTGCGGTGCGCCGGAAGCGGAACGCTGGACCTGGGAGCCCTGGAAGCCCCGGACGGTTCGGAACGGGGAAGGGGCTGGTTACGGTACCTGGTTTCAATAAGTCAATGATATAATTAATGGTGATCATGATAAACCTTAAGAAAAATATCCAGTATTCATCAAACAACATAGAATACTAATACTAATAAGTAACAATTTAGTAATCATATTTTTTGTTGGTGGGAACAAATTCCAAAATCAATATAGTGTTCTCTTCTCTACCTGGGATATCTTGGGATGATCTCAGGCTGGCTTGACGCATGGGAAAACACCACCAAGCAGGTCTGCAGTCAAATTGGAGTTTTTTTTTGTTGGGAAATTTTGGGAAATGATACTTTTGGATACTTTTGGTTGGATACTTTTGGATACTTTGTTGGGAAATTCATAGAATTGGATGATGGGAAAATTTTAACCGGAAAGCCCTATATAAATGATGGTAAAAACCCATGGGTTTCCGGTGTAGATTTTCCCCAACAAACCAATCCAATGAGAAATTTTGGGAAATGATACTTTTGGTTGGGGAAGGGCTCCCCTAAGTGAGCAGGTTCTTAACTGATTGTGAAGGCACCAACATCGCCGTCAGGCTAATCCCTTCCCACTACCTGGTTGGGTTCCCCTATTTTCGGTGTTGCTTCAGGGAATTAAATGTAAGAGGATGGCATTATATCCGGTTTATTGATGGCTATATCATTATATCAGGCTAAATCCACATTTGTTTGATGGTTAAATCATATTAAGTACATGTTTTTTTGTGGATAAACCAAGTTTGGCGCCCTGAAGAGCCATGGCAGCTGCAAGGATACCACACAGAACAGCAATGTGGGCGCGAACTTCGCATGCAAGACGCGCTTTGATCGGATCCTCTTCATCAGTCCAGGTGCGGAGGGGCTCACCGGGTGGACCTGGGAAGAGTGTGTGCTATGATGAAAAGTTGGATTGAGCACCCACATGCCATAGGGTTTATCTTAATTTATCTTCAAATTGGGTATATCCCATATTTCATAACCTTATCATCCTAATTTAGCGGTCATTTTAACACATAAATGGTGACGAACCATGGGACTCATACCACCATTGGGGAATTAGAATGGCCACTAGCGGCCACTTGGACAGGATTTCCTGATGATGGTGGGATGACCATAAACAGTAATACTTATACCATGCTTTGACCATGGGCACATGTGGGTGGCATGGGCGGTTCTTGAATTTGCGAACAACTACAACGACCACAACTGGTCAGTTTTAGGCGGCGAATTTGCTCAGGGGGTGGTCCCATTTTAGAGAAGCAGCCGTATGGATCATATGGGAATGGGTACAGTATAGCTACAGTATTTTTTTTTGCGTATGGGTGCTTGAGTTGTTTGATGTTTTTTGCTATCAATCCAGATGATCTACCGGTTCAACAACCACGGATGGTGACTGGTAGGGATGTGGGGAGCGATGCCCACCCATTACCAGTCGAATCACGACAAAACTGATGTCTGATGTGAGTCATGTAAGTTGCTGTATGTAAGTATATATATATATACATATTATACATATTATATATATATATATATGATCTTCAAATACTCTTCGCTACCTTCATATCTGCCCCGCAGGCGTCTCGGACGCGCCGGGCGTGGCCGGCCTGGCCGCCGCCAAGGCCAAGGCCAAAGCCAAAGCCTCGCCGCATGCGACGGCGACCTCGAGCGGCGAGGGGTGGCGACCTCGAAGCATCCGACTGCTGGGGAAGGAAAAGGTGGCAGGACACTCGGTAAAGTTTCAGGGGGACCCATAGGGCTGGGAATTTTGAAGGAAACCTGGTTGATTCAAATGTGGTTTAATGGTTGAAGCATCATTTGAACGTCTTGAGAATTGAAGGATCTAACCTATGAACCTTTCAAATATTACATATAATATGGCCACCAGGTATGTTACCCATCAATCATTGGGAATTTGTCAGTTGATGGGCAACATCTCCGTTAATGTGAGTTCATAGGGCAACCGTGGGTATTTGAGGATCTGACCTACAGCCCAAGAGTCGGGATGGTTTATGAAACTGGGTTGACCACGTTATTGATCGGGCATTTAACAACTACTGTATAACATACTATAATTATATTATACTTATTGGGATTTGCCCACATTCATGGCGGGTTTTCATTGGTTTTCCATTCTATCTGAAAATGTCCTGGAGGTGATCGAAAATAGAGATGTCAGCAAAATGATAAAATCCATGTGGGCACGTTTGATATGCGGTATATCCAAACTTTATATGGCTATTTAGTGAAACATTATTAGAAACCATGGGATTTGGTGGTACCCTATGTTCAAATTTGGTTGAGGAGATACTGTATGATATAAATATAAGTATACAGACAATACATCAAAACTGATATGGATATTATAATATCATATGATATAATAATATAATATAATATAATATAATGTAATGTAATGTAATATAATATAATATAATATGATATAATATAATATAATATATATAATATAATATAATATACTACAATATAATATAATATAATATAATATAATATAATATGGTGTATGTATATATATATATATACACAATATACAATATGTATATATATATATATACACATGTAAAGCAATACTCAATAGTATATCATATAGCAGGAAAACAAAGGTAGAGATTAATGAATTCAGTTTCACCCATACAACATTAACAACTGCAAAATTATCTCACTTCTGGTGAGAAGCCGAAGATGTTCTTCGTATCATGGAAGCCCAGAATGGAAAAAACGTCGTGGTGGTTGATGTGGAAATATATAATACATATATTACTAATTTTATATTGCATCTATTGTATATTGTGTACTAGTATATGTATTTTATCATTGCATGTATATTTATTATATATTATCATGTCCTATACGATATCATGCATACAGAGGTTGCACCATGACAATGACCATCATAACATATTTATTTACACATGAGTGATTCAGGTAGAAACTGCCTTCCTCCATGACAAGTGCTGGGGAAAAAACTGAGTCAAACTTGAAGAGATTCTCCAAATCATCAAGATGAATCAAAATTCCAGGTGATCAGGTGTTGTTTCATCCACTTCCACTTAGACTTGGGCCACATCTTCAACGAATCCCTGCAGCTATCGCTGTGAATCGCTGCCGAGGTTTAGGCCGCTTTCCCTCGGACCACTGGGGTCTCTTGACTGAATGGACCTGTGGCTCCTCGGCACCCGCGTCCGCACCGGAGAAAGCCGCGAAACCAGCGCTGGGCTTTGCCAATCTGAACAGCAGTGGGGCAGTCATCGATTTGGATGCCTGATATGTGTGTGAAAACCGGGTATACCACCCAAACATGGCCATTTGAATGGGGATTATGATAGCTAACCGCAGCTAACCCGTGGATGGAATGGGGTACCCGTTTTTCAGACTCCAAATGCTGAAGATCTGTGGAGCATGGGAGTCAACCACTCTTGGATCCGTTCGTGGATCTTCAAAAAAATGGAGTGAGAAGCGAAGTCTCCGCGCGAGACATGGGGATGGCTGCATCAAGATCTAGTGATGCATTGGTGAAACACCGAAAAAAAGGATGCAATTTGCACTGGGTTCTTGTGGTTAAGAATGCTCGATTGATGGACTTATATAACTGTCCTTCGAGTCTTGCAACACAACACTTAAAAAAGAACTTCCTTTATTGTTCGTTTAAATGTGTATATATATATACATACCAGTGTATTATACTAAATATATCTAAATATATTATATGATATATTATTCAAATATAGACAGTCATTATATGTCTCTTGAATTGCGTGTGTTTCCACTATTCTTCAGCTTGCCTTAGCTAGGAACCAAACTCTGCCGCTGCCAGGTCATCAAGCAACATGGGAACCCGATCAATGCCGTGAACGAGACAAAGCAGGCGAGCCCTGTTTAATTTTAGAGGGAAGAAATTGCTATGTGTATATTCATGTTTTATTTTTTTAATTGTTATTGTTATTTATCATTATTGTTATTATGCATCTATATATAATATATGTATATATATATATGCAAGTCTTGAGAAGTTTTGTTTGTGCGCCTTTGGTTTTGGTCATATCGGTGGTGCTTCTACACCACAATGCTTTGGGATACTTGATATTTCGTGTTTTTTTTTGGATCCTCTGAAAGCAAAATACAAACCTCTGTAATTTAGAGGATCTTTGTAATGTGGTAGTAAACCATCACCAAAATCACCACATCCATCCACATCCCCAAATGGAAGGCTGATTATTTGGTTGTCCACATCATTCATTGTTCCAACTATCCATTCTTCATCTATTATTTAGTTATGTACGTTAGTAATCATCATAAACCATTTTATTCACCACTATAATTCCGTTATCATTTCATTCTACCACCATCTTTGGTTAAATCTCCATATTGTATGGTCAAATATCCCCATATATACTTATGTATTCCATTATAAACCATTGCAAACCATTATACACCATTATTAACCATTGTTAACCATTACCCATAGGATCCATGTATGCTATATATGGTAACATTTACCATCAATATACCCCCAATGTTAGCATATATACCATACATGGATCCGATGGGTTATATTCCCATGAAACTTGATCTCGGATCCAACCTCCCGTCCCTCCGCAGCTCGTGGATGCGGCACTGCCACTCTTGCGCGCAGCGGGGCCAGCGGGGGATGTGGTCGGAGAAGCGGTGGCCATGCATGGCTTGGTGGGGAGCACCCAGGGATCCCAGGGAGCCAGGCGTTTGAAAAATCACAGGAGGGATGGTAACCATCAAAAATCAGAGGGATTTCCCATTAAAAACAGGAAGGATGGGTTTACAGTACTGGATTTACTGTAATCAATAATAAGAAACGGGATTTAACCATCATACATTAAAACCATGGAACCATGAAACATGGATATTTTTCACCATTGGAGCATAAAACCATATGAAACCCACTGGAACTCAACCATCAAGTCAATGGGGATTAAACCATCAAGGATAGGAATGGAAATTAGCCATCAGACCTAGGAATTTAACAATCAATCATAGGGATTTATTAACCATCAAACACATAGGGATTTAACCAGCGATGGATAGCGGGTTTGTCTGACAATTCTAGGGCCAAAAGTTGATGTTTGATCCCACTTGTCCTATTGCAGTAAAAATAAGGTTTCTGGATGTAGTTCAGGGTTTATGGATAGAGTGCCAACAAATTCTGGACCTCGATGTTTGTTTTTCCCTCAGAGATGTTCTTTTGTTTGCCCATTTCAAATGATAATCATGAGGATTTGGCAAAAACGTGGGGTTTTTGTTACCTGGAATATTTAGAGGGATTTAACCACCAAAATCAGGACTTGAGCCAGACAAATTGAGATTTCAATCAGAACAAATTGGTTTTAACCCACAAATCAACAAACCAAAATGGAGGTGTTTTTTCAACAACACTTGAATTTGGGATGTCTAGATTTGATAACGCTTCTGAAGTCAGCATCGTTCATTTTTCCCATTGGCAGGTTAATCCAGTGTGGATCAAACTACAAATTAATCCCCAGTTGGAGATGGTGTTATATATGGTTAGCCCATAAACTTCTCCAATAGGTCAATTATATATATATACTTATGCAACTTATCCAATAGTTCAATTATCATACTTATGTAGCTTATTCACTAGTTCAACCATCAGCATTGTACGTATCCTGTATGTTCCATGAACGCACACCTAAGGCGTGCGCTAGAGCCCTCAGCGGGTTTTACGTGTGGATGCTCAGAGGCGACTGAGGGACCTCAGGAGGATTTAGATGCTGGTTTATAGTGGTTTATATATGAGCTATGGTCAATACTCATGGTTAATAACCATTAAAAACGGGGCTAGTCATCCAATGGTTCAGGATGGGATTTATAATAACCATTATAAGGATCCTTATTATGGATGGGATGACCATCAACCATATAGTGAGTATTGACCATGGCTCATATAATGGTGAATCATGGGTGTATAGGCATAGAACCAAATAGTGAATGAAGATGATGGGTGGGAATTGAATGGTTAGGATAGATAGCCATCAAATATGAGGATTTAACCATCAAAAAATGTGGTACAATGGAATATCAATGGGAATATAATGTGAGAAACCCAATGCCACAAATAACTACCATTTGGGGATGATAGAAATCCAACCCATTCATAGTGATTTTGGGGCATCAAAAAATGCGGTTGATGCATGTTTGTGTGAATGTTCTATGTCTAGTTCATAGATCTGTATCGTTTTTAGATCTGGTTTCACATCAATGGCCATTTCAGGAACCTAAATTGGAGGTACCTACCAAATATAAGGCCTATACTAGTATAAGGGCTATGTAAGGGGATATCCCCACAAAATATGGCCAGAAATATGGGACTAACGTACCTTCATTTTAGGATCCTGAAGATCTCCCATTGATCACAAGTTTCAAGACTTTGGCGATTGAATCCATCAATGACTGGAAGTCATGGCAATCTCCACCAGATGCCAAGGAGGGGGCAGCCGATGCTGGTCGCGAAGCCTTGCAGTTGTTTCGCAAGGCCGTGATGGGTGCCGGGAGGGAACACCTGCAGGATGCGACGATACCAGGATACCCCAAGTAGGTGCTACTTGAATCAATGGGAATTCCAGGATCCTAAAATGGAGGTACTGTACCATATAAGGCCATATTTTGTGGGGATATATCCTTACATAGCCCTTACATAGGCCTTATATATGGTAGGTACCTCCAATTTAGGTTCCTGAAATGGCCATTGATTGAATGGGGAACATGATGATCAACAAGATGATCAACCATGGGCAACCATGGGATTCGGGGATATCCTAGTTGCAGACACTGATGTAAGGGCAATGTCGTTGGAGGCTGTTCCCCGCGAAATGGGACACTGGCTGTGGGTTATCATTTATGTCTAGTCTGCTCTTAAATACACAGAACCAGTTGAAAATCTGGGGTCACCTAATTGTGACGCATAGCATACTGTCTCTATAACAGTCCATGTAACTAGGAATTTACCCTCCGGTAGTCAAACATCGCTTGCTGGACAATTCCGCATTATACTGTATATATTTTTCCTATTTACATGCCTATTTAAATGATATTTACCATTGCTATGTTTGATCTCATCCCCTACGGATCCAGCCGTAGCTTCGGGTCCGTATCACTGGGGTATGATAACTGCTGACTGATCCCTTCTCTCCAAGGATTTTTTCTGGATCCATAGGGATAAGTCATTAAACCCATCCAAGAATGGATCAATCACTGTTTTTCCATGGAAAAAAATAAACTCCAATGAAATCGCTTATTTAAATCATGAGCTATTATGAGGAATCTATATATCAATTTATGATATTCTTCAGGAATTTATGATATCACGAGTTATCACGGGTTAATGAAATCCCAGGGCGCCTTTCCGTCAGGCCAAAAGACGGCGCCAGGAAGCATTTGAATTGTGCGCATGGGCGGATGGAATCCAGTCAGACGGAAGGGCTTGGTTTAGTGTGTTGAGTCTATCTGTTCTGTGAATGTGTTGAAGTTGAAATTGTGAGGGCAACTCCTATATTCAGAGGTCCAAAAACCATAAACCAATCCATTGGGTCCTTCAGGGCAGTCTGAGGGCCATATCCGGTCAATCTTTAGGGGATGATGCAATCAGGAACACAACTCTTACAGTTGGGGAGATCACCGATCTTCTGGTTTGGTTGGTTCAACATGATAGAAATCCATAGAAATCCATAGAAATCCATAGAAATCCAGCATTTTTCATAGGTCCATGGGGGATTTCCTGTGAATTGACCATCTTTTGGCAGTGGCTCCAGGCAGTGTTTGGCCGTTTGGAGCTTGGCTATGGAGGCCGGGGTCATGGCCTGGGGATGGCCGGGGGCGTTTGAAGAATGGCGGTGATTTCCCCCTTTTTTCGATGGGAAATTCACGGGAAAACTATGACAAATGGTGATGAAAAATGATGATTTGGTGGAATTGTTCAATAGGAAATCCCCTAAAAAATGGAGGTTTAGCTGGGAGTATGAGGAAAAGTAAATGGAGGATTTTGCACGCCATGTTTGATTACCAGAGGGTATAAGAATCCCATATAATATCATATAATAATGATCCAATAGTTCAACCAAAATGATAAGAAACCCATAGAATTATCCAATGATTCCAAGCGATGTTTGTTGGTTTATGAACTCCACGAACTAGTTTGATATATTGATCGCAAACCCTAGTTCTTGGAGTTGTTATATATGTTTACCAACTTCGCTAACGAACTGGGGACCTTGTATGAGGATTGTGGAAATCTTTGTCAACTCACAATGAAACACACCAAAATCATCTAGGTACAGTAGAAACCCATGGGGACGACCACACGTAGATTCAAAAGACGACAATTTACCGCAGGTGTGATGTGTTCACTTTAGTTATCCCTTTGTAATTCCTCATTTTCGGACTTTCAATTAGGGTACTTTATCACACTGTCTGAAGTGCGAAGTCTCTTTCAGTTTGGTGATGAGCCTCATTACAGTACATCCCCATCAGCAATGGTTGCTCACAAACCATGTTACATGTTCCATTTGATGAGTACTTCTTTCAATGTTCCTAGATCCTTATTGCCCTTCAATCATTGGTTTACACTCCAAATTTCAGTGTGAAATCTCTAAATTTCTATAGATGTTTCCAGTTGTCCATATTGTGTCCCTAGGTTTTTCCATATTTTTTCCCTAGATTTTCAATATGATCGATAGGTTTTCCGGGTTTTCCCACATTTGTTCCTCGGTTTTCCCATATTTTCCTGGTGGTTTTCTCCGATGGTTTTCCGATGGCCAAGGATTGGCAGGCTTCTCGCGATGCAGCTGAGGAAGCCATGGCGATATACCTGGAGGCCATGGGGATTTTTTCATGGTAGGTACTGGTACAATGTGGGGCCCACCAGTGATGTTTGTTGGTTCATAAAACCCATGTAACTATATAGTTATAACTTATAACTACCATAAAGCCTAGTTATTGAAGTTGTAAACCAACTTAGCTACCTTGGGGGCCCCACATTGTATGTGTTGATGGTTATATGGTTTTTGATGGTATTTACCTCGGGATTTACAGGTTGACTTATAGATTTATGAGGTCTAAGTTGTTTCAAGTTTGGGGATTTTTGTTTTGTCATTTATTCTGATTATATAATGGGATGATCTTAGATTGGATTTATTGGGATGTTTTCATGGGGGATGCAATGGGATGTAACCTTTGCAACTTGATATGATGGGATTTTCTGGGGTAACATAGTGATACATAACTTTTTGAGATCATGGAGATATAACTGTGATATACATATCTCCATATATACAGTTATATCTCCATGATCTCAAAATATATATATTATATAGATATATATATATATATACCGAGGACCAATCAGATTGGAGGGTCGAGGCGACGAGGTTTTTCGGGTCGAGGTTGCCAGCCAGCGGTGCGACTGGACAGGAACCAGGCACAAGCTCCAGGCAAGCGGCCGTGCTGGTGGTCTTGACGAAAGCCTGTGTGGTGTGTCAGGACCCGGGAGGGTTTACCAACCAGCTCCTAGGTACCTTAGGGACAACATACAAAAAAGATGTAGAAAACCGTTGGTTTCCCTAGAAAAATCGTCAACAAATGGTGGGTGTTCTACATCTATGTCATATACCAGAGGGTAATCTTTGAGCTTCGATGTGAAGTTTGCTCAGTAATTGATGTGAAGTCTTTTTTGACATCACAATTTAGTCAGACATATCACATATTTTACTGGATGGAGTGTAGCAAGTGCACTTTGTGTTTAAGTTGTTTTGGCATTTGATGGGTGAATTTATCCCGCTAAAAGACATATATAAGAGACTCTTCAGTCAGTAAAGTCAAACTTTGTCAAGAAAAGAACCCACATGAAACCATCATTTATATAACGGTACATTTAACCATGGTTTGCTGCCAAAAATCCTCCATTTCGTTCGGGGATGATCCCATGCCAAAACCCTCCATTCATTTAGTTCGGGGATTCTCCCAACAATTCCACAATTTCAACGCCATGGATTTTCCGTTGGTCCATCCACCATGTTTCATAGGTCAATGGAGGATTTCCCATTGTGGTTTACCAATCCCATAGGATCCATGGTGCTGCTATATATGGCAACATGGATCCCATCAATATACCCCCTTTATGTTAGCATATATACCAGCACCATGGATCCTATGGGCATTGGATCTGGCAAAGCTGAAGAAAAACCAGGACTTCCAGCGCGCCATTGAAGGGGCCTTCGTTGCCCTCGAGCGTTTTGAAGTGGCGGGAGATCCAGACGCCCAGGTGGAGACGTGGTTCGGGTTTCCGACGTCGAAAACGCTGGAAATCACATTTTAAAACATGGGCCAACCCACTGGTTAGATACGAACTAGTACAACTTATATTCTTTTGCTATTGTAAAATGTACTAACCAGCTAACAAAAATATTAAGAAATTGATGTTTGATGATTTTTGGGAGGTATATATCTAAGATTCACCATGTAAAGGGAAACTAGAAGCAGAATACCCTTGTAATGGGCCAAGGGGATTTTCTGTATTTGTGGAATTCATAGATTTGGAAGTTTCATTAGAATAATGGTCAGGTTGCAATAATATTAATTTCCGTTCCCACAACTGGGATGCTTCCGCGATGATGTTCCCTAGCGACTTTATGTAGTTGATTTTTAAACTACAGGTCTTGCTGGGTGGTGGTTTCGAAGATCTTTTGCTTTAAACCATTTTCATCCCAAGGGACTGATTGTATTTTTTGAATGGGGGTTGCGACCATATAGCTCGGCTGTGCATATTCCATTTGAGTTTCCAGTGCTGGCTACTAAAAGATGGGATTTAAATGCGGTCCGCCACTATGAAACCCAAAGATCCCCCGATGTAGGAAAACCCTAAAATCCTCACAGGGACACACATTCAAATCGCCCTAGGGTTTTATACCACTTTGAAAGTGAAAACAAACTGTGATGACTGGACCCCCGCACCATGGTTCACCAATGTTCACCAGGCAGTTGCCATGGAGATGCTGGCGCTGGGATTTTTGCAGAGTGGTGATTTTTCACAGGCGGAGCCGCGGAGCAGCTGCCCACGGGCAGCTTGTTGGATGGGAAGAAGTGAACAGAAACAAATCACGAGCAATGGGGGGGTGCTGTTCATACTGAGGATTTACAATTTACATCAATTTACCGAGCACGACTTGGGGTTTATAGCCAAACAGTTTGAGGGGATACTTAATGGGATTATAGCTAACCAACTTGGCATAGTATTTTGGGTGTTTCAGAAAATATGGTATATCCCCAATCTTGGCATTCTCACGAACAACGTTATGAACCATGGGATTTAGGATATACCATTATATACCCGACTTTCCGACAAACCCAATGTGATCAGAAAAGAAAAGGAATGACATGAATCTCATGTATTTGTTATGTCTAGAATCTGCAACTTATTCCATTCTTCATTTTGGTGTCCAAAACCATGGTTTTCCTGACCTGAAATTTACGACTGCCGGGACCTGTCAGCCGCTAGAGCCTGCAGGCAGCCAAATTTGCTGAGCAAGAGGCGAGGGGACATGATGGGATCGAAGGTGTCCAATTCATGGGGGTGCGCCTAAAAAATATCCATTCATGATTGGATGTTCCGGTATACACCAACATTTTGGGGATTCCCCAGTTTAGGAAGCCCCCATATACAATCTATACGTTACATTGTCTTGCACATCGTTGTTGGCATGTTTTGGTGAAGTATCCAACATATTCGATGTTTGCTTGATATCCAGCAACACATTCACAACGACATTCGTGAAATGTCCAGGCTGCCCTTCTGATGTCACTTGGGAACAAGCCGGCATGCGCCAGGGTGTGACTCGGACGCGGCAGTTGAGTCATGAGCCATGGAACCCCCGAATATATGTGGGATTGAATGAAGCAATTAACCACCGAATCTCTCCATGTTTTTGACCACCAGACATGGCACAATAAAGTACAATATACATACTATACCGTGAGCCTGATTGTATATATAATATATTATATATATAAATACATTATATATATACATTATATATATATATACATTATATATATATAACATATGTGTATATATATATATACACATTATATAATATATATATATATTATATTAAATTTCACGAGCTCCTGGGATTTTGTGATCTTTAGGGAATATTGGATATCAAGGTCAAGATGCAATATTTGTTGCAGTGTACGCGCACAAGGGTGGCGCCAAAAAACTTAAGCGTCATGGTTTGCACGGGTTTGCACTGGATCAGCCTTCCATAAATGGAAGTGGTCCAATAAATCGTTCAGAAAAAATGAAACGGTCGGAAACGGTCGGAAACAGTCGGAAACAGTCGGAAACGGTCGGAAACGGTCAGAAACATGATCAGGCCAAAACTTGTTCAACCCGCATTTTTTTTTAAATAAGCATTTCCGCGCAACGCCGTTTTTTTTTTTAAGGTCCAAAGGTGTCCAAGGGGAAACGGTTGGAAACAGTCGGAGATCGCACCTTCGCTCGGCAAAAAAGACATGTTTTACACAATTTTCAAACATTTTTCATGAACATATGCTACAAAACAACTACTTTTTTAAAAAAGCCTTACGCAGACTATTTTAAAAAAGGTTTGTCTCGGAAAGACCATTTCACCATAGTGCTCGGGGAGACCATTTCGCAGCTGACCCCCCCACCAATCACGCTCAAACATGGACGGTTTTTTTTTCTACGCATCCACAAAGCTCTTCATCGAAAGGCACGCTTTTTCAACCTCAGATTTCGAGTTCATTTTGGATTGTTCATTGCATTTTCTGTAAAAACATCAACAAGATGGTACGGCGGCATGATATGCATTGAAGAAGCTGGTGCATCTTGACCTTCATAAGTTTGAGCCTGCCGGCATTCTCTCTAGTGTGTTGGTTGACAGACCCACCATTTGATCATAACTTGTGTAACGCAAAACACCCCACATCAGTTGGTGGCTTGGAAATGTTCAAACATTCTGGCTGGCCTCAAGCGCTGGCATCTCAGAAGCCACAAAGGCCGATGGTGTGGATGTGAATACTTGGCACAACCTTAACTGAAAAAGCTGGTTTCCTTGATAAGGGATTAAGTCACATCAGCATAGTAGCTACTAACAGAGAAAATGCATCTTTAGGACCCAGTAGCCTTTCGCCCAGCGCATTGCATCTTCATTTGTAAAGGTATGACAATAGCGCGAATTTTTCCTGACAAGGGGGCTGGGCCTATAGATGTTTTGTGATAACAATGTAACAAAATCTAAAACCACAATACGGAGCAATAACAACCAAAACCAAGTTGGACAGGTGGGAACTACGGGGATGTCACCCATACCATCTTGGAAATATGTTTATCCTGCTAGGGAATTATTGTTCATTATTAAGCATAAGTTTATATCCCAATGGCGTCGGTTTCAATAAACACCATGTATAAACAATGATTTTCATATGAAGTTTGCTTTCCCACCAGCCACTAAAAATACGAATGTACCCACATATACTCCACAGATTATTTTTGGTGCCGGGCACCGCTTAATAGCTATTTTGCAATGTTTTTTGAAAATTCTGGTTATCCCGCGAAATACCCAACATGAAAACAATAGAGGTGAACCAACACATCACCCATGGTTGCAGATGTAGCCCGCATCGCACAGAAAGCACAAGGCTCTGAACCGCAATACATCATGGCAAAGATGTATCATAGCCTCACGATCCAAGTTGGGTCTAACACATTATCAGGGTTGATCATTTAAGAAGCCCATCAAGGCACCAGGCACATGGTTTACATTGAAAATTCTACTGCAACCTAAGGTCGTGGTATTTTGTCTTGATCAAGAACATGTGTTTCTTGTGCTGGACGTTGATGATGCTCAGAGCCCGGTATGATTTCAAGAAGGCTCTCCCTTCATCATGCAGTTTTCTGGCTTCCATTGGCGTCCTCAGATTTCTATTGAAGCCGGGGAATGGCGACCTGATAGGATTCAACACATTTATTACAAATCACACCAACATTTTGTGATTGCTGCGGGTGCATCCCCATAATTGTCCTCCCCGAGCACTATGGTGAAATGGTCTTTCCGATACAAACCTTCTTTAAATTACGTAGTCTTTGTAAGGCTAGGGAAAATATAGCTCCCAAAATCAAGAATCAACTCGCGTGGGTTGTTCTTTCAAACCCAAAACCATCTTGCCATGCTGTTCCTTGTCCGTTGGCATAGCAATGGCAAGCAAATGGAGGACCAACAGTTCTGCGGGAAATTTAGGATGTGGAACTGGTTCTGAAATTGCTTGATGGGCATATAAATTGCTATTCGGGCTGCCCGCTTGGCTGCCTTGGCAAGGGCTGCCTATGCTGTAGCCGACACCATGGGTGCCTAGAGATTGAGCCACACTAAGACGAAGACATAAAATGGTTGACTGCTACTGAATCATACTTGGCAGGTAGTCCACTATCCCCCGTGTTGGATATCTCCATTTGGAAAATTCACTATTTCATAGTTGGCCACCTGGGGGTATCCAATATGGGAATGTCTCAATATAGTGGCACCCCTGTTATAGAAGGAATAGGGTTATCTCAATTTGGCGGGGCTATTGGGTCAATTCCACCATCTCCCAAGACAGGCTTTGGAATAGTCAAGAGTATTTGTTTGTTTGCCACCCCTTGCCAAACGACATGGTAACATAATACAACAAGCTTGCAATATGTGCACCACCTGTGTGCTCTGGAATAATCAAAGTTTTTTGTATTGACCAGTGAAATGATCGATCAAGGCTGCTGCTACCGGGTAAATTCCAGCAAGATTCTCCTTCTCCTTCGAGACCCACAAGCACAAGATTCATGATTTATTCTGAAAAAGGCGGTTTTTGGGGAAATGGTGTTTCACGTTTAAACATGGTCGTTCACGTTTAAAAAAGGTCGTTCACGCTATTTCACGCAGTTTCACGCTTTATTCACGCTTAGGCCCCTGGTATACCAAATCCAAAAAAACCCAATGTTGGCCTTCAATTTGCGGAACGCAGGAACCATTTCTTTTAACTAGCGTTTGGTTGCCCGAACATCAAACTGGATGGATTGATTAGCAGCAGAGGCAGCCACCAAGATCCTGCTGGAATTTGCCATATCTGCCAGAAAAGTTTGATTACGCCCTTTAATTCATGCCGCACTTGCCTGCTATCCTCATTGAGAGGCCGAGGCCTTCGGAAAATTGAGGGTGAAACCTACCAGACTTGGCTTCATATTCCAAGAAGGACTTGATGTCCCCAAGTGCAGCGTGACGCCACATGAACGGGGCCACCACACAATTCCAATGTGACATTGGGTGGTTCCTGCTGTGAAAGCATACTGTTGTATGTATTTTGTCAATACTCTGTGATATATCGATCCACTTAAAATATATTCCACATTCTCAAATCAAAATGCCCAGGTTTTCTCAATTTTTTTACTACGTGAGATTCAGGCCGTTTTGGTGCCGAATAAGACCTTTTGGAGTTTTGGACCTTTCTTGTGCACCGAGAGGAGACGGTGTCAGACCTGGTGGAAGGCAACAACTTGGATGAGATGCGGCAGAAGAAGGTTGAGCTGGAGGGCTCTCTCCAGGACCTAAACCTGGACCGCATCAGCCTTTTGGACCAGATTCAACAGTTAGCAGATGCGATCACCAAAATGGAGGAAAAGAACAAGAAGAAGCAGGCAAAGTCAGGTGAGTGTGGTGAGCCTGGTGAGAAGCAGGGCAACGTGGCGATGCTGGATGCAAAGGAGGTGGCAGCAACGGTTCCAGCTGGTGAATCTCATGCTGAGGGCTGAGGGGACTTTTGGAGCGGCCACAGCCTTGAATCTGTTTGCAGAAAGGTGTGCAGGCCGTGGCAGGCCGTTGGGTTTTGTAGTTGTTGCGGGTCAGCATGTTGAATTGCTGCCAGACCTGAGCAGTGGAAGAGGTGCAACAAATATGGTGCATGAGCCATGCATGCAGCATGACAACTTGATGAGTGAGCAGTGCATGACAACCTGCATGCAGCATGACAGCCTTCATTCGCATGACCTTCACAGCGTTTTCTTGGTCTGCCCATTTTTGAGTACATCTTGAACTTCAATTCCTGAACGCAAAAAAAATGATTTCCCACCTGCCAGGTGAGGGTTGTTAGATTTTGTCACAGTTGTTCTCCTCCTTCTCCTCAGCTAGCTATCCTCCAGCTCCTCCTCCAGCTCCTCCTCCAGCTCCTCCTCCACCAGCATCTCCTCCACCACCTCTCCCTCCACTTCCACGTCCACTGTTGCCTTGCCAACTCTTCACCAAGCTCTTCGCTCAGTGTGCACAGCTGGACCTCAACCTGGGACCTTCCCAGCTCAGTGGGCCTCAACCTGGGACCTTCCGAGCTCAGGGAGCACCTCTAGACCTCAACCTGGGACCGTCCGAGCTGAGAGTTGAAAAAGTGCACGAAGTCAAAATGTACAAAACACACAAGGTTCGGTCCACTTGTGGAAGCGTTGGAAGTTGAGATGTGGAAAAAGTGCACTTTGTTAGGGTGCGAAGCACATTGTGAAGTCAAACAAAGCACACCATGTTCGGACCACTTTTGGAAGTTGAGATGTCGAAAAAGTGCATGCCATGGTGGCGTGAAGCACATTTTGAAGTCAACATGTACCAAACACACCACGTGCACCAGGTGCAGACCACTTTTGGAAGTTAAGATGTCAAAAAAGTGCATGCCATTGTGGTGTGAAGCACATCTGGAAGTCAAAATGTTAAAAGCACCACGGGTGTGGACCACTTTTGGCACTTGAGATGTCAAAAAAGTAGACGCCATGGTGGTGTCGAAGCACATTTGGAAGTCAAAATGTTAAAAAACACTAGGGATTCGGACCACTTTGGGAGGCTCAGTATGTCCCTTCGTTTTGCTTCCCTTCACTAGACTACATGACACTACACTCCACTCCACTACACTTCGCTACACTATAACCCTACACTACACTTCACAACACTACGCTACAGTAAATTACGCTACACCACATTCACCACATTACACTCGTTACACCACACTACATTACATTACCTTCCACTACACTTCACTACATTGCAGTACATTACACTCCACTAGACTACAACTACAACTACAGCTACAACTACATTCCATTACACTCCACTACACTCCACTACATTAAATTACACTTCACTACGCTAAATTACACTACACTACATTCCACTACACCAAACTACATTACACTACACTACATTAGACTGAATGACCCTGCACCACAGATAGACAGGTAGACAGATAGATAGATAGATAGATAGACAGATAGACAGGTAGACAGCTAGACAGATAGACAGATAGACAGATGAAAGAGAGAAAGAGAGAGAGAGAGAAAGAGAGATAGATAGATAGAGAAACAGATAGATAGAGAGATAGATAGATAGGTAATTCAATGAAAGAGAAAGAGAGAGAGGGAGAGAGAGAGAGAGAGAGAGAGAGAAAGAGAGAGAGAGAGAGAGATAGATCGAGAGATAAATACATACATAGATAGGTAGGTAGGTAGGTAGATAGTGAGGAGACCTCAGCCGGTAACAAAATGTATAAATGTCATGGTGGGGATCACACGAAGTAAAATAATTTACTTGTAAGGGGGTTTTTGTTTGGCTGGTCGGCTCTGTTAGTTTTCATGCTCAGTGGCTCTCTGGGCCATCATTGTGAAGTGGCTCTCTGGGCCATTTTGGACTAGTGGCTCTATGGGCCATTGTGCTTGTTCATGCTAGCACGGGGGCAGTCTTTTATCCTTTGTCTCCTTTTATCTTCTGGCTTACAGACTGCAAGATTGGGGATAGGGTCAACACCTAGACTAAGAACTCTGTCACATGTCACTTCCAGAAGCCACTGTCTGTCACTCTCAACTTGCCGCATCAAGACACCATGACTTGCAACCGCTTGCAACTTCTGAACTTGTCATTGTTCACAGTCACTCATGTTTGTTTTAATACCCACCTGATCTTGCTGAAGCCATGGGGCGCATGGTGCAGTTGGATGAAGAAGCGGCTTTGGTGGACAACTGCGCCACTTTGTTTCGTGGCTTCAATCAATTTTTGGGGGGAGACAGCACAGCGGCTTCCAATGCTCTTTTCCCTCAATTGTTTCCTGAATCAGTTTTGCCATCTCACAATTCTACAGTGGCTCTGTGGGCCAAGATCTCTAAACATGGCAGAAGCAATCATGTCTTGAGTTTGGGAAGTAGGCCTCCGGAATCCCTTCTTCCAGACTTTAACAGACAGACTTACATATATGGCCCTTTAACCAGAATGATTTAGTTTTATTTGTCAGTCCCTGGCAGGCAAAACCCAGTGGAATGTGAAGCCGCTGCTGGTTCAGTGGCTACTGAAGCGACTTTAGAAATAGTGCTGGCAGATGCAGCACCTGCAGAGGCCTCTGCAGCCAGGCGGGCACAAGAAGCTGAAGACAACATGACAGTCTTCGCAGACTCGGAGGATGAGTGCCGTGACTGCGACACCGAAGGCACCACAGATGAAGAAGGTGGACAGCAAGCTATGGATTTGGCTTTGCACTTTGCTCGCATCAGAGCAATGGGCCTTCTGGTGCCTCCGTTGCCACAGCCTTTGCAAGAGAGCCGACGACAATTTCTTCGCAGGGTGAAGAAGAAGAACAAAAAGAAGAGTTGGAAGCGCCGGCAAGGTCTTGCCTGCAAAAGCAGGGCAGCCCCGTCTACCCACCGAGACCGTTGGGCACCTGGGCCGTGGAGTTTCGTCACTTTTACTCGTACCTGGAGAGGAGACGGGAGTTTCGTGCTGGAGAGGAGACCTCAAGGTCATGTTTTGGAGTTTCGTCAGTTTTCCTCGTACCACTACTACAGGGGGTGCCTTGAACACTTTACCTGTGAGATCCAGGCCGTTCTCGTAGAGAGCTTGCCGAAATGGATTTGGACTGTGGCAGTTCTCAGCCTTGATGGCCAGGTCTGACAAGGGAAGAGGGCATAGAGGCCTAGAACCTACTTGAACCCATTCGATTTCAATTAAAACAAAATGCATCAACTGCAGTTTCCTGGCTAGTTAATTAAGTTCAAATGGGCCTTTCCCATAATGGGGTATAATCGGACTTACTTCATAGGATTAAATATGAAATACTTTCGAGTAGATACCCACATATATCAAGAGCTGAGGTCGTGGCAGTGTATTCCCGGTGTAATGAAGCCATTTGCAATCCACAGCTGGCAGCAAGTTTGGGCAACCGCGAGCACACCTAACCCTTATATTATATAAATCCTTTTCAAACCCTTAGACTGCCAATTCCTTATATACCATTTACCACCATGCTTGTCTAACCCCGTGGGAGAATTTAACCTTTCAAAGATATATCTTTAACCATTTCAGCAGAAACGATGCTAAACACAATGTATGTATTACGGCAGCACTGCGCTATGGTAAAAAGACATGTTTTTTCAGACTGCGGTAACGCTAGTCTGAACCATTTGGACTGGCCGCAGAGGAAAAAAAGTCCATCAGATCATGCACTGCAAACACAAATTCATCAATCACAAAAGAGACTAATCTCAACAGCATTGGTCAGAGGTGGGCGTACCATACAGCCTATAGTTTTCCTCTGCATCCACCAACAGTCCTTGCCATCGAGATGTCGCTAGAAACATTGTATTGGCTGATCCACGGGCTCATTCCATTTGCTAAGAGCGTGGCTTCTGCGAAGTGTTTTCTTCATACCTTGAGAGGCAATTAACAATGACCCACGTCAGGAATTAAAATGTTTCAAACCGTCTTTGCCAAATTTAATTGGAACCAAGTTACTGAAAAATATCAAAAGGTGAAGCAGCGCAGTGGGTGTAGCAAGGCTGCGCATGGCTCAACCAACCACACCGGTTTCTGTTGCTCCAACTTACCCCAATTTCATCTATACATCCCCCAGATTGGTTTCAATTCATCATGTTTTTATCTTGATCCAATAGATTTTGGGGTTATGTGAACAACCTCAAAACTTCCCAAAGTTCATGAATCTAACAAGGTCCATGACCCTGATCCAGAACGTAGCTGCCGAAACCTGACAGACTGCACCTGGCACAGCGGATATGGCGCCTGGCGGGGTGGCATGTGGCAGGGAAATATAGTGTTTTAAGGAACTGCTATTAAATTAATCGTGGTTTAGGCCTAATAATAATCGTTTGGGAACCCCCTTTTAAACAATAGTGGTTGAATCCTAGGGTATATATTATATATATATAATATATAATACATATATAATATATATTATATATATAATATATATATATAATATATAATATATATATAATATATATAATATATATAATATATATAATATATAATATAATATATATATATATATTAGAGCTGCCATTAGCCTCTTTATTGGCTGGTTTCTGACGTCTCCCAGAGGTGGACGTAAGAGATGGGTCTTTTCTACGTAAGAGTTGACGTAAGAAGTCATGTAAATAATGGGCCTTTGAACAATCTTTGTATTGTATGTATGTGGCGTTGTATTGTCAGTTGATGTTCACTCATAAGCCCATGTGAGTGGTGTGGCTCATGAAAATGGGTGACTGTGAGCCTAGTTATGGCTATGGCAAGGCGCACGTGGTCAGTGGCCACTGGTTTAGCCCGTGACACACTGGGAGAGAACCTGTCCAATCCCTTCCAAGGACTTTTTTTGGCCTGGTTTCTTACGTGGTTTCTTGCGTGGTTTTTGGCTGTTTTTGCCTCCCCCCTGAACGGATCAGAACGGTTCAGAACGGAGAATGAACGGTTCAGGGGTATTCCCCCCTGAAAAAGGCAT